CAGCTCTATTTGTAATACCCAAAGTCACACATTTAGTTTTGAGCGAGGAAAATTAAGGAGATCTATCTTTTTTTTTTTTAATAGCTTCCTTGACTTTGATTGTCAAACTTTGAATCTTGTGCATGAGTGGTTTGTGCATTATTTCAAAGTAAGTAGATATTTCATGGTGTGTTTTCAGGTGTCAGAGAGAAAATACATATCTGAGAAGATGGTGAAACAACTGATAGACTGCACAATTGACCGAAATAATGAATGCAAAGCAAAAAAGGATTGAGCAAAATGAGTATGTTGGATGAATTTTGAGCTCATTATTTCCTGTGAATTTTGCATTAAAGATGAGTTCTCATTTAGGGACTTTTTATAGAGTTATTTGTGTGTATTGTGTTTTTTTATTATTATTAATTTTTTTAACAGTCATATATACTTTATAGACTTCTTTTAAGCCCAGTTCAGACCAAAGATTCGGGAGTACTTGCAGACTTTGCAATGCGGCGTTCTGCAACGTTTAAAAAACCTGCTGCATTACACCAATGCAACTGGATGAGCTGGTGTATCATCTCAATGCAACAACTCTCTGTACTTCCATCCTGATGTTGAGCTTTTCAGGCTCATTTTGTAGTTGAATATAATTTGTAGCTTCTTAAAATATGAATGAGGACAGTGATAGTGAGATACAGTTGCATTTGTAGTAGTGATGAAACGGCGCAAGAACATCAACAAAACCAGCATCAGATGGACTGTATTTATAATATATACATCACAAAAACATAAGTAAGAAGTGGCAATTAGTCAGTCAGCAGTTAGTTAGCACATAAAGCGAGCGGTGACCCACTGTCCAACATCGGCACGTGACGGAAACAGAGGGCTCAGCGGGGACAGAGCACCTGTTGCAGAAAGTGAAGACACCGTCTGCAGTCATTTTGATTTGACTAGCGGACTTCACCACAAGCCAATTGGCTGTTGAGACAGGCAACGTGCCTTACGTATTAAAACGAGCCGCTGGCGATTTGACCAGCTGAGTTGCAGGCGACACCATCGGCCATCTTGAGTCAAGCTCAGACATCCAGTTCACAATGCCGTAACTTTCCTTTGCAATGTTCTAAAACAATTTTGTCTTGTCGTGAATCTTTGGTCTAAACTTGGCTTTACAAATTCAGCATTTTCTTCTCACTGATGCTTCGCCATTGTTCCATTAGCTTTTAGGTGGTTTTAACTGCAAGATGAGGCTCATTAGCAGAAAGTAAAGGCTCTGTGAATATAGCCTGTGTTCTTGAACAATAATCTACACCACAAAAAAATAACAAATTCATTTTGTTTCCTCCACAGAAATGAACAAAATGCAGAGATACTGTATAGGCCTACTGTATATCTTAATAACAATTTTTCCTACACCCCTTAAGATTAAGAAGGCCTTACAACCCCCTGTGAATTTTTGGCAACCCCTAGTGGGGGTCAGGACCCCAAGGTTGGGAACCTGTGCTTTCAACTTAGCGCTGCAATTATTCCATCTCAGCTACTGTATGTCTAAGCAAAACTCAAATTTACATACATTACACCAGACACATATTTTGATTGAATGCAGCATGGTTCTAATTATACTTTAACCATGCAGTCTGCACAAAAATATATCATCAAACTGTACTTCTGACACCTCCATATTTGCTCTCAATAACACTCATGTCATTTAATTTGGTATATTTTGAATAATGTGTCCTTCGTTTGCAGTTTTGTGTATTTGAACTCAAACCTATTTCAAATGTAAAGTGAAAGGGGGAAAAAATCAGCAAAAAAAAAATCAGTGAGTGACCCCACACCTACACAATAGTAAAGTGAAAGTAGTAAAATGTCACTGTTTTAATTTTTCAAAATGCTTTCAAAGCCCAATAAAGATTTCTAAATAACATTTTTACCCTTTCCTTGTAATAGAATACAGAATAATGTGCAGTTTAAAGGTCTAATGTGTTGTATTATGTAGCGTCCATTGTCTTTAATTGCAGATTGCAACCAACTGAAACTTCTCCTGTGTGCCAAGCATGTAGAAAAACTACAGTGAATGATGCGAAACTGCAAAAATGTAAATGCTCTATCTAGGGCCACTGTTTGGTTTGTCCGTTCTGGGCTACTAGAACAACATGGCAAACTCTGTGAAAGAGTAGCTGCTCCATATGTAGATAAACGACTTATTCTAAGGTAATGAAAACACAACTATCTTTATTTACAGGTGATTATATACAATCATTTTATGTTCCATTTCTGCCAAAACATCCCCCTAAATCTTACAGACTCGACCTTAAAGTATAAATTTTCAATGGTGGACAAGGTACAAGCAATACAGCAATTCAAAAATAGCCCAAGTGAAGTAACACAAGTAAAATATACATTACGTTACATGACATTATGCAAAATGTCCCCTTATATTATTCAATATATTATTGTATTACTATGATTGATGAATTGTCCACAGCATGTTATTGTTGTACCTGGTTGAGATGGAGCTAATTCTACTGGGCAGTTTAAATGACTGAATATTTTGTATGTAAAAGCTTAATCTGCAAATATCTTGTGAATTATAAAGAAGCATTAAATAGGAATGATCATGTCAAGAGCCTCAAAATTGTACTTAAGAACAGTAATTGAGTAAAAGTACTTAGTTCTGTTCCAACACTGGTTAGTCATTGGTGAATACACTGCCGAGCCTATCATCGCAGTGATTTTCCCATTCTGTTTGCAAATCTAAAGGGTGATAACTAATGCTTCAGCACATAAAATTTTGTAAAGCACTTGGTAATTTCCCCAGCAGTCTTTTCCTCAGTGCCTGGGCTGCTACGCCTGTCCAAATTACATGGTTCACACTTCTCCTGGTCTCCCATGGTGATTACAGCCTGCTGTGGCCCCTGCGGCTCACTGAGCACTAATGGAAAGCAATGCAGTCGGCTTCCCTCGGACAGAAAATGTAAGATATTCTCACTTATATCAAAGGCATCGTGTTTCAGCATGACAATCACTTTGGAGAGGAGGATAAAAAAAAAAAAAACACAGCGACTCCTCACAGCGACTCCGCCCATCTGATTTCTGCTCAACAGAGCCCACGCTGCAGAGACTCAACAGAACAATCAACAGGCATGCTGCCTGCTGCCCCAGCATTTTTTACACACTAACTCACTTTTATTTACAGCCTCCAGATTTAATTATGGAATTGCAGGGAATAAGATGTATAGTCTGTTGCCATAAAATAACACGGAGGACTAATAAATAACATATCCATCTTTTTTTTTACCTCTCTATAGCAAAATTTAAAAACTGTGGGAATAATTCTGAGGTGCAGATCTTGTGCTCTCATGTTGCCACATGCAGCTTCAAACAGTAATCTTTGGGGCAGCCACTACCTGAATGGTATGTGGGAAATGAGCGCCCTCTACTGTGTGATGGAGGGACTGTGGTGAAAACTGTGGGAGGGATAATTGCTTAAAAATTCATTTTTCTTTAGCACCATTCTGACTCTTCTGTTTATTGTATTCCCTACATACTGCAGTAGGTCATTTTAAAAGAGGTATAGGAGTGAGAAAGGAGCAAAACCTATAGCAATACATCATACTTATAAATGCAACACAAGTCTTGTACAAAAAAATACAATATTTCCATCTGAAATCAAGTGAAGTAGAAATATAAACTAAAATGTAAATACTTAAGTGAAGTACAAGTGCCTCAAAACTTAATTACAGTACTTGAATGAATGTAGTTTACAGTCCACGTCTGGTATCAACAATATTAGGTTTCCATTCCTTCCTTATTGTTCTTTATTCTTTTCTATTCCTTTCACCTTGCACACACACATACACACAGACATTGACTTGACTTTCCAAGTTCAGGGTATGGGGTTTTTAGAAGAGGGGGGTGAGCTTGCATAATTGATGCTCCATATTACCTTACATCCTCACTGCTCTGGCTGCGCTACAAACAAAGCTTGCTCATTAACTATTCACCAGATGATTTTGAACACAGAAATGATTCTGTGGATGCGGAGCATGCGCTGATGCCGTGTCTCTCAGCCCCCAGGCGTCTGACTTCACAGTAGTGAATAAGACATGTGCTGTCTCCACTCATCATATTTTAACTTAAGATCCCCTCACATGTATTCAACAGTCAGATGATGAAGAGCTTGTATATCAAAGCCATGATTGATGGGGATGGTGATAACTTGTACATTTACAACATGCTGTCAGTAGAGATGATAAGGATTATATAATGTAGGAAGCAAAGTATCCAAAGTGCATGCAGAGTGTTTTACAAACGTAATAGCTACTAATGCCCCTTTCATTATAAGTTCTCTGCACCACCATTTTGCTTCATTTTAAATGACAGCTGTAATGTTGCCATGCATAGGATACTAAATTATGTGCAGTGTGTGTAAGAAGTCATGAGTTTGAACACTGTATATGTTCAAGGATACATGCATGTGTTGTATGTCCATGGCCAAAGACAGGGGTAGCTGTGGCTCAGGAGGTGGAGCAGGTCGTCCACTGTCAGCAGGTCGATCCCTGGCCTCTCCAGTCCACATGTTGAAATATCCTTGGGCAAAATACTGAACCCTAAATTGCTCCCGATGGCTCTTCCATTGGTGTGAGTGCATTTAAGATGAGTAGCAGGTAGCACCCTGACTGGTAGTCTAGGCCACATGAGTGAAAGTGACATGTAGTGACCTGGTAGTGAGTGGTCAGAAGACTAGAAAGGTGCTATTTACAGTGAAGGCAAAGTAAAATGTGTTTGTTTTCTAATCACTGTAATATATAATGTTATTATTAAAGGTACAGTTCCACCAGTTTTGAGGAGCAGCCACGGAGCAGACCAATGTACTGCTGGGGCCACCTATAAGATCAACATAAGATTAAGCGTACGCTATATTAACAGTATTTTTACCACTTTACCCTGCCGTCAGACAGCCCTCTCTGACAGGGAACTAAAGCCTTATGGCACCAGACTCCATTGACTAAAACAGTAACTTTAGTTTGTGTGACTTTGGTAATTCCAAACTAACCCTTACAAACACCAAAGTCACCAATAAGTAACTGATCAAGACAGCAACAGACCAGTAACTCCTGTGTTCTGCAGGGTAAAATTACTGTTTTTGTCAAAGTAGTCTTATGACTAAAGAGAGCACAGATAACGGCTTCAGTTTCCTATCAGAAATGGCTGTCTGATGGCAAGGTAAAGCAGTAGAAATATATTATAAATATAGTATATACTTCAACTGACAATGATTTTTTTTAGGTGGCTAAAATATGTTTTGCTGCTGTCCCCATTCACAGCAGCACACATCTCCACACTGAGGGCGTGCCGATCATTCTACTGTAGGTGATACACTGACTGTAGATAAGTCCCTCATACAGCCCCACCTCAAGAAAATCCAAACTATCCCTTAAATAAAGAAAAAGCTACAAAATCCATATATCTCTCAACCTACATGTTTATAAAAAAGAATAAATAGTCCCTTTTTTATTTGACTAAAAAGAGTTCATTGAGTCAAATATCTAAAAAAAAAAAAAAAAGCTAGTTTCATGGGGCCTTGCCAATGATGAGGATGCTCATGAGGAAGACCATGACGAAGAAGATCCACATGAAGAATCTGTCCATCACCTTAGCGATCTTCTTCCATTCCGCCCCTTTGGCGCACGTGGCCCTCTGCTCCCGGAAACAGTTGGCAATATACTCAACATTGCGCACCAGCTTGGTGTCCACACCGGGGAAGCCACTAGCATGGCTGCAGAACAGACAGGGGCCGAAGGTAACAGTGGGGCCATGAGGTGGAAGCTTTTTATCTTCGGGGCAGCAGGGAAGCTTTTGGTCGTCGGGGTAACAGGGGACCTTCTGGTCTTCCTTGTAGCATTCACCTGTCGGGATTTTCCCATTCGAGCCTTCGTATTTTCCAGGTGCAAAGCTGGACAAGTGGCTCCGCTCCTCTCTGGTGATGTGGTGCTGGGCTTTTACTCTGGGGTGGTGCTGCGGCTTGGGGGTCTGAGGTCTTTGGTATTTGCGACCCTGCCACTCCTGTCGGCTACTGTGGCCCCCTGGTTTACCATTTGCATGGACGTGAGAGTTGTGGTGCTGGTGACGGCTATCATCCTGTGGGAAGTTGGAAGATGAGGAAGAGGAGGACGCAGAGGCACAGTTCTCGCCCACCTCGTAAACAAAGAAAATCTTGGACATGTAGTCAATGATGAGAACTTTTGCCCAGTGAGGGACTGGTTTGGCCTCTGCACCACAGAAGTGGATGTTCATGATGAAGATGGTGAGAGATGTGGAGGCTGTGACCATGGTCATAGTGGCAATGTAGTACTTCCCTGTGTGACAGATAAGAACAAAAGCAGAAGCAAAGAAAAAGTAATGTATCATTTCTCTGTAGGGTCCTTTCCATAACGTTTTCAGACACATCTAATAGCTATCTGTGCCTGTCAGCGTGCCCATTACTCACTTAGACATAAAAACCAGGGGAAATAAAGTCCAGGTTGATAATACTGAAGTTTCCCTTTAACAGACATGTATCTAAACGATAATCTTCAATCCAAACCAAACACACTCTCACCTATCAGGGGCACACTCTCAGATGGAGGCATGCTCTCAGCTACCATCAGCTGGAACACAGTGAGAGCCAGGAGAACGGTCACTCCGAGGGAAACCTTTTCCCCAGAGTCTGCAGGCAGGTAGAAACCCAGAGGAGCCAAGAAGGAGATGAGGAAGCAGGGGAGGAGGAGGTTGAAGATGTAAAAGGAGGAGCGGCGCTGCAGGAGCACCGTATAGGTGATGTCTGGATACGGGTCGGAGCAGCAGCCGTACATGATGACATTCTTGGTGGCCGGCATCCCGTGGCACTCCCACTCCACATTTTCCACAAAGTCAGACAGGTCACCACTGTCCATGCCCATAATGATGTCTACCTGGAATTAGGGTAATCGATGAGTAGGTGTAAAGGAGGCACACAACCAGCTTCACCCACGTTTCCAAAAAACAAATTCAGCACACACATTCTTATGTACAGCTCCGAACTATGAGTGTCAAGGCAAGATTATATGTGTGTCTGATCTCTTTCTTAAGCTGACCAGTCTCAGTTTCCCCCTCATCTAGACCTGAGTGAGTCTTGTATCATTTAGCTAAGCCAACTGACCTGCTAAATTTAGGTGACAGACATCATCAGATATAAGGTGAGTATGTTCGCATGTGTACCGGTTTTTCTACACACCTGGTTGCCATTGTAGGTCCAAGACCCAAACGTCAGGTTACATTCCTGGCTGTCGAAGGGGAAGTAGGAGACGTCGACCACACAGGAGCTCTTGGTGATAGCAGGAGCATCCCAGGTTATCTCGCCATTGTAGCGTAGCCTCACGTTAGTGTCCATTGGCCCTGAGAAGTCATCGTCAGCTCTGGAGGAGGAGGAAAAGTTGATACATACTGACCATACATATATGGTTATAAACACACATTTTCCTACATATACAAGCATATTTATATTAGGTGTTTTTGCTGATTTCAGTCCTTTACTCTGTTTTAATCTATTTAAACTGTACTTCGGGGACTTGAGGCCTTTGTTACTCAGCAGTCGTATAAGATTATTACTGTAAAACAATAAAGAAAATCTCAGTATTATTAAGATTATTAGTGAAGTGCCCCTTGAGTAATGTTAGTGAGCAGGGCTCCAGACTGTCAAGTGCGACTAAATATTTTAATTGGTCGCATTAGTCAGTGGCCTGACATTTAGCAGGTCTGTCACTCTGTGTGTTTTTGTGTAGTATTCCTCTCTACTCCTCCTCAGGTGACATCACAACCTTAGAACATGCCGGTAATTCAAAATTAAGAGAAATATTGATTGTTTTTTGTCAAGTACACCTGTCCTCAGGCCTGAAAGGCTCACGTGAGACCCGACATCATTGGTGGAGGTAACCGCTCCAACACCTGCTTCCCCTGTCCCCAGTAAGATGACTAATCCTGACACAGTATCTTCAACTTTTACTGTCATTTATATGTTGTGTTAAATGTGTGAGGGAAGTGACAAAAAGGAGCTCTAGTAAGGCTGTGGAAGAGGTAAGCTCCTAAGGGTGAATGTGTGTAACCTTGCCGTTTCCTGGAATTAGTCTTTAACATGATGCTGCAATAACTGTCATTAATGTGTTGCAATGAGGGTTTGATGAAAACTGCAACATAGGGTGTGTGTATGTGTGTGTGTTTGTGTTTGTGTGTGTGACGTACGGGCGTACTTGTTATAGAGGACGAGGTCGGGCCTCCACACAAGGCTGCTGGGGATGTGAATCACCTCCAGCCCGTCATAGTCTTCTTTATCCCACCTGAGGTAGGCATCATGCCACGTCTGCCTGATCCACAGGTAGGCAATCAGCACCTGGTTCCTCTCATCCTACACACACATAAACACAATGACAAGAATGAGAACACACACACACACACACACTGGGTTTTATACTAACAGCAGTTTGAAGAGGGATCATCTCTCATTAACTCTCATTGAGCATTACGAGGGCTTCACATTATCGCAACAGCTGAAACCCAGACCTGTCCATCAATATCAGGTGGATGAGCACAGTTGCAGGCTGACGTGGGTGGGGGCGGGGGTGGGGGTGGTTTTAGTATCGATGCCAGAGCTTCACCGAAGCGAACCAATGAGAACATAAACGCTTTGCGTAATACAACACTCCAACACACACACCTATCCGTCGCCTGGCCCCTCACGCCTATCTTCTCTAACATGTCACACTCAGGCACCAAAGAGACGTGACATTCAGACGGAGAGCTGTTTCCTCTCTTCAAGCACACACACACACATGCACAACATGAGCACTTATTCACTGTGGGATGACACGGCATTGAACCTGAACAGGAACCTGAGCCAGCTGAGTAACAGTAGGCTGAGCTGTACAGTAGGAGGTTTGTCTGTCATTCATACACATATGCTCAAACTCATCCTTTGGTCTCAGCAATGATGAAAACAAATTCAACATATTCGTGTTTTGGTTCTTAGTTCAGTGTATCTATGGTGTCAGTATTTATTTCATCTCTGCCAAAGTAACATCACTAGAGCTTATAATGAGGTAGTTTTACTTCAAGCAGGGGTGCAGTGTGACTGATTGATCATCCAAGAAATGTTACCCTGACTACTAATTTGTTATGGCGCTGTAATGAGGAATGAGCTCTTTGTTAATTACTGAAAACAGTCACATATTAGGCACCAGAAGAACATTAAAAAATATATCTTCATCTTTCATAACTCTGCATGCTTGACATATTCACCTGCAGAGTTTTACATGTTTCAACTGAATAAAAACATCAAGAAACTTCTGTTTGGTTTATTTTGATCGTTAATATGTTATCATAATGTACAGCACATATGTAACCCTGCTTTCTTGTTTGGTGGCGTTCTCCAGCCCTTCTGGCTTGCTGCTAATACGGAAGCTACAGTTTCTCTTGTTTTGTCTTATTTAATTTACAGCAATGCACAGCAAGATGGCATATATCCAGCTTCACTAAGCTGCAGCACAAGATAACCTGGGCCTCTTACACTGACCTCTGTCCTCCACAAAACAATGTCAGGTTAGGACATTACTCTCACTTGAGGCAATGGGGACATAAAGTCTGTTGTGCACAGATATACAGCTGTGCCTTAAGATTTCAGCTTGCCCTTAGGTGACCTTGGGCACACAAAGTTTGAAAACCACTGACTTAAGTGACTAAATTAATCCAATAAATATACTGCATGCAGTAATTATAGTTACACATACAATGAACACTTAAGAACTTAGATGTGCAGTACCCACCATGTCTTTAATCTGAGAGAGGGTGATCTGTAAGGTGACGTTGAGGGCTAGGTCCGTGTCGTCGACAGGCCGCAGAGCGCTGGAATAATTCTCCATCAAATCACTCAGAAGCTTGTGGGCATAGTGACCCTGAGCCGAGTGAGCCACTGAAGAGGTAGAGATGTTGTCATCAGTCATTTTCATGCTTTTGCCAAAACAGTAGTGGTTTTTTAATGTATATTTTGTACCAGTACTGAGGTGACTGTCATCACTATGAAGACCATGAAAAAACTCACTAAGTTTAAACAGAATTTTCCTTCAGTTTATTCTAATTGTGCCTCTCAGTTAATCTCAAAAACAGCTAAAGTGTCTAATTTTGCTTTTTTTCCCTTGAATGTCATCCATGTTCAGGCCTGAAATATTTTTACCTTTTACTTTACCTTTTATGTTGGGTCATTTCAGTCCCTCCTCGTAAATCCTTAAGAGAGGGCCCCAAAAGTTATGAGCGAGCAAATTTTGTTGCTTTTATGAGATACTTTAAATAGTTTTTGTGAAATGGTTTTAAAGCCAAATGAAAAATTAAATGTCAATGTAACTGCTCTAAAAAGGCACAGCGTCTTGTGCCATTTCACCCACACAGTATATCCATTTAATGTAATAAACCTTATGCTTTTTTTAACCAAAGGAACAGCATGTGTGTGTATGAGCTAAAAACAGGATATCTTCAACTAATTAAAAACAGCACAGACATCATTTCTTTGCAAGCAGGAGCGTCTGACTCACCTTCAGGAAGCAGCATCGCCAGGCAGATTATTGGAATCATCTTGAGCATTTATTAACACCTCCAAGAAGAGAGCTATACAAGGTAACTGCAGCCAGCAATCTATCAGCCCTTTGGTTTCATCCCCTAACAGGCCTACATGGTGCCCGTTCAACCCCAGTTGAACTCAGTTGCAGATAGAAGGGCACCACTTCATCTGGCCATCCTCGCAGTCAGACTGGCTTCGTACCGCTTGGCAGGGGAGGCAGCGTGTCTGCCGACCGAGACACGGAATAAAACTCCAGCTATCACATAGCAGCAGCAGACCGAGAGAAACAGGATGCCTACAAATCATCGCCTCACCACACACTGGGCTATTCAGCTGTCAGTCAAACGCCTGCAGCCAGGTGAGCTGCTGGCAAGCTGCTACAACACACTGCCAACACCAGGACAGTAAGGAGGAGAAAAGAAAAGGAAATGGATCACTCAGTCATACATACATTAATATTAGGGCTGGTGTCACAGATGTAAATATATATATATATGAAAATATAGTTGTAACAATAGTCCTGATTGTTAATTGTAAAGTGACACATACAATGATGGCACACAGTTTTATCTTCAGCCAGCTTGAGGCCGTCTGCAAGTTGTTTTTTCTACATTAAAAGTTGCAAAAAAAATGTTGATTTAAAGTTAAATCTATCAAGAATTTTCTGTGTTTGGATTCTTTCTTTTGTACCGTAGAGCAGGGGTGTCAAACATACGGCCCGGGGGCCAGAACCGGTCCGCCAAAGGGTCCAATCCGGCCCACTGGTTGACTTCACACACCTAATACAGATGTACTTGTGAAGGCAAAGAGGTGCCAGGTTTCAGGAGCATGTTTAACAGTGACTAGCTTTCATCATGTAAAATGCTGTTTTAGAGGCTTTTTCACCCCAACCAGAATACAGTTCTTTCTTTCACTTTAGTTTGGCATGGTGACGTCAGGATTACGACACAGGAGTGGAAATATATCAGACAGTGAGTACTCGACTGTGGAAAAACTGAGAGATATGTGTTTCAATTGCATTTATTCTTCTGGAGACATCACAGACTGTTTGTCATCTGTTTTGTAAATGGATTAGTGTTTTTAAAATGTACTTCTTTGAACATAAAAAAAGGAAAAATTTGGAGGTGTTTTATAGGTTATTATGCAATGGTTTTACTGGTCCGGCCCATGTAGACTCTGACACCTCTGCTGCAGAGGTATGAGAGAAAAGCGTTTTCTTCCAGAATTCAAATGGAATACAGCGTGAGTAAGTGACATATAAATGATCATTTGGGGATGACGTTTTCCTTTAAGATCAGAAAAAGCACCAAAGAAGTGCACCAGATATGGAGGGAAAAGACACAGTACAAACTCCTATTTATATATTTTATCATTTATAGAGTATTGATCACAGAAGATCAGCTATTTAAAACACTTTGGATGGGTAAATTGTGATGCTCACATCAGGCTTTTTCTACATAGGCCATACAAAAAGATGCCTGAGGGATCGCTTTGCTGAGTATACAGTACAGGCCAAAAGTTTGGACACACCTTCTCATTCAATGCGTTTTCTTTATTTTCGCATCAAAACTATGAATGAACACATGTGGAGTTATGTACTTAACAAAAAAAGGTGCAAAAACTGAAAACATGTTTTATATTCTAGTTTCTTCAAAATAGCCACCCTTTGCTCTGATTACTGCTTTGCACACTCTTGGCATTCTCTCCATGAGCTTCAAGAGGTAGTCACCTGAAATGGTTTTCCAACAGTCTTGAAGGCGTTCCCAGAGGTGTTTAGCACTTGTTGGCCCCTTTGCCTTCACTCTGCGGTCCAGCTCACCCCAAACCATCTCGATTGGGTTCAGGTCCGGTGACTGTGGAGGCCAGGTCATCTGCCGCAGCACTCCATCACTCTCCTTCTTGGTCAAATAGCCCTTACACAGCCTGGAGGTGTGTTTGGGGTCATTGTCCTGTTGAAAAATAAATGATCGTCCAACTAAACGCAAACCGGATGGGATGGCATGTCGCTGCAGGATGCTGTGGTAGCCATGCTGGTTCAGTGTGCCTTCAATTTTGAATAAATCCCCAACAGTGTCACCAGCAAAACACCCCCACACCATCACACCTCCTCCTCCATGCTTCACAGTGGGAACCAGGCATGTGGAATCCATCCGTTCACCTTTTCTGCGTCTCACAAAGACACGGCGGTTGGAACCAAAGATCTCAAATTTGGACTCATCAGACCAAAGCACAGATTTCCACTGGTCTAATGTCCATTCCTTGTGTTTCTTGGCCCAAACAAATCTCTTCTGCTTGTTGCCTCTCCTTAGCAGTGGTTTCCTAGCAGCTATTTGACCATGAAGGCCTGATTGGCGCAGTCTCCTCTTAACAGTTGTTCTAGAGATGGGTCTGCTGCTAGAACTCTGTGTGGCATTCATCTGGTCTCTGATCTGAGCTGCTGTTAACTTGCGATTTCTGAGGCTGGTGACTCGGATGAACTTATCCTCAGAAGCAGAGGTGACTCTTGGTCTTCCTTTCCTGGGTCGGTCCTCATGTGTGCCAGTTTCGTTGTAGCGCTTGATGGTTTTTGCGACTCCACTTGGGGACACATTTAAAGTTTTTGCAATTTTCCGGACTGACTGACCTTCATTTCTTAAAGTAATGATGGCCACTCGTTTTTCTTTAGTTAGCTGATTGGTTCTTGCCATAATATGAATTTTAACAGTTGTCCAATAGGGCTGTCGGCTGTGTATTAACCTGACTTCTGCACAACACAACTGATGGTCCCAACCCCATTGATAAAGCAAGAAATTCCACTAATTAACCCTGATAAGGCACACCTGTGAAGTGGAAACCATTTCAGGTGACTACCTCTTGAAGCTCATGGAGAGAATGCCAAGAGTGTGCAAAGCAGTAATCAGAGCAAAGGGTGGCTATTTTGAAGAAACTAGAATATAAAACATGTTTTCAGTTATTTCACCTTTTTTTGTTAAGTACATAACTCCACATGTGTTCATTCATAGTTTTGATGCCTTCAGTGAGAATCTACAATGTAAATAGTCATGAAAATAAAGAAAACGCATTGAATGAGAAGGTGTGTCCAAACTTTTGGCCTGTACTGTACATATGCCATCAGAACAAAAAATTGCGACTACCCCATGGCTAGACATTTAAGTGAACATCGTACAACTAATGATTCCTTATTACACATAGAGGGCACTGAACACATTACACCTTTGGTTAGGGGATGACAGAATACAGGAACTTAATTAAAGGGAGGCTTTTTGGATCCATCAACTGGATGCTGTAAAGTATCCTGGTCTCAATGAGGATATACTGGTTGTTGTGATTTGTCATTGTTCTCTACAAGCGTCACCATTTTAAGATAAGTGTGTATATATTTATATTTATTTTTTCGGGGTATGTCATCTCATGCCACTGTATGTTTTTTATTAACTTATGTTTTCAATACTGTCTATTTGTTTCACCTGTCATGCAATTATATGGGTCATGTGATGGCCTCTGATTGGTTCCTGCCACTATATAGGTGGGGCCATACCTGTGCTGTATGTTTTGAAAGCCTTGACAATGACCTGAGGGGTATTCCAGAAAGCAGGTTTAGTGAAAACTCTGAGCGTGTTAACCCTGAAATGAGGGAAACTCTGGGTTTTCAGTTCCAGAAANATGAGGGAAACTCTGGGTTTTCAGTTCCAGAAAGAGAGGTAAGTCAAACTCAGAGTCAATCACCATGGCAACTGACTCTGTGAACCTAACCTGCTTGCTGGCAGGTTTTCTTTAAAAAACCCTGAGTTCACCCTGTCTCCTCCCTACTGCTGATCCTGATGCAAGCTGGCAGACAGATATGGGTTGTCCATATGTAGGAAATTTGATCGATATTGAGGCAGAATTAATTCACAATGCTTTACGCCAGGAGAGGATCTTCAGACCCTGTTTAGATGTGTTGTTTTTCCCCAATGAATATCTGTTTGAACCGTAACGTTTTTTAATTAGACTCAATCATTTACCTGCCACACATATCAAATCTGGCACACCACAGATGTGCGCTCTCATCAGAGCAAATGTGCATCGCACTACGTTTTTTGTGAACGGTAGCTTTTTGTATGATATTGGTGGCCTACAGTACATAATGACATAGCCACTGAATGACAGGTTATTTAAGCTACTTTGTTCAATAAATCAAATATGAATAAAAGGGGTATGAAGTTTTTAAAGGATTCAAATTTCAAATAAGTCATCAACCATCTATATGCTGAAATTAGCAAGGATTCTTTTGCCTTACATTGACAGGACAGTTAAGCGTGAAAGGGGGAGAGAGACAAAGGGAGTGACATGCAGCAAGGAGCCACAGGCTTGAGTTGAACCCGGGCCGCTGCGGCAAAGCCAACATGGGATGCCTGCTCTACCCACTAAGCCACCAACATCTTGTCAAAAAAATACTGCTTGCTAAATTTCATATGCCGCCTCTTTTCCCTTGGCAGCTTAAGCGGTGTTACTTTTTTTTTTTTACGAAATATATGCTCATATTTGCTGTAGGCATTCATGAACACCTCCACTTCCACAGGTGTAAAATAAGTTGATCACTTTTTCTCTCCGGTTGCCATGGTGAATCGTGGTATTGGGGCTCCACTGATGATGTCTTTTTATTGTGGTTGTGCACGACTTGTACTTACTCAGAGTTGATTGAACTAATTCAAATCAGCTGTTCTGGAACCAGAGTTTCACATCTCAGGGTAAGTCAACTCAGAGTTCAGGGCCCGTATTCCTAAAGATTCTTAGTGCAAAGAGTTGCTCCTAGTGGCCAAATTCTAAGAAAATTCTTAGAATCTTGGTGTTTTCTTAGAATTTCTCCTAAAAATTAAGAGTAGATCCTAGTAAAGATAAAAGCTATTCCAAAAGAATCCTAGCTCCTGAAAGTGCTCCTAAGGTGAGATCTATTAGGAGCAGGGAAGAGGACTTTTAAGCAGATTAGGAGTTCCCTAAGCAGAGGACAAAATGGCGGAGGGAAGAGGCAGGAGAGATATTCTCCAAACACTGGAAGACGGTGAATTATTAAAACGCTACAGATTGGATCGCGCCGGCATTGTTTTTGTGGTCGATCTCATTAGAGATGCACTGACTTCTCCTACCCAACGCCACAATGCCATATCACCTGAAATGAAGGTAATCACAACCTTGAGGTATTTGGCAACAGGGAAAATGCAACAATGCAGCAGTGATGACTTGGGTCTGTCACAACCCTCCATCAGCAGGGTCATCAATCAAACATTGACAGCATTGTCACAACCTCACATTGTGACACAATTTGTTAAATTTCCACTGGATGCCCGCACTTTGCAAGCCCACAAAAGGGCATTTATGGACATTGCAGGATTCCCTGGTGTTGTGGGTGTAATTGATGGGACACATGTCAGAATAATTGCACCATCAGAAGATGAAGCCATCTTTGTGAACAGGAAAAGATTTCACAGCATCAATGTTCAGCTTGTTTTCAGTGCTGACTACAAAATTTTAGACATTGTTGCTAAATGGCCAGGCTCAACACATGATGCCAGAATGCTCTCTGAGAGTGGTCTCAGACAGCTTTTCGAGGGACATTATGTGCCAGCCAATTGCCACTTGTTAGGGGACAGTGGCTACCCATGCAAACCATGGCTCCTAACACCTTACCTCCAGCCACACCAAGGGCCGCAACTAAACTACAACAGGTAACCCAAACAATATAGAATTATGCATGGACATAAAATGTAAATTGCATGTTGGATTATCCTAGATATTTCCATCAAATAATGTACATAATGTATAATGTTTAATTATGTCTGTAGGGCCCATAAGAGAACAAGGGCAGTTGTGGAGCGTGGCATTGGCCAAATGAAGAGACGCTTTCATGTCCTCCATGGAGAGGTGCGGCTGACCCCTGATAAAGTCTGCAAAGTCATCGTGGCCTGTGCAATACTGCACAACATTTGCAAGGCTCGGCAGATTGCAGAACCTCTTGAGGGTGATGGTGACGAGGAGAGCGATGATGATGGTGGTGAAGAAAACATTGACTTTCCACAGGGGAACTTGGCTCAAAGTGGACTATGTTACAGAGGCCACTTTACAAATTTACATTTCAGGCAAGTTACAGTATATGTAATTAGAAAATATATGTAATTAGAAAATGTGTGAATGCATTTAATCAATGTACCACATAGTTTTACCAAACATCACTTACAATAGTTACATACATGACACATTACTCAAAGACACAATATCTATTTGTCACTCAATTTATTTTTTAGGAACTGAATTTTCAGTCTATAGTACTCCTCCTGTAGGCAGAGAACTCTTTTCTGCTGCGTTAAGACATCCATCGTCAACTCTAATCTTCTGTCCTGCAGGGATGGTGTTGGAGCAGCAGGTGCAGCAGGCAGGGATGGTGTTTGAGCGGCAGCAGCGGGCAGGCTGGACTCTGTCTGATGGTCGTACACCTGTGATGTTGAGGGGCCCGGTTCCTCTGATCGCTCCATGCTACAGAAAGGGGAACACATTTAGTTTAATTATTGTTTTGTTTTAATTGATTTAGTAGAAGGAACATGCACAAGCAATACGCTAAATGGTTTATGCAATGTATAAACACTGTGCTTAATATTTTGTTTTCCTGCCTCTTGATATATGAAAACTCATTTGTTCTACCATTGTTGCATTTCAATGGCCTGCAACATTGAGGAGTCAATGCCTTCCCTCAGCCCGGTGATGCCAACTTCTGACTGCCCCAGTATATCAAATACTGTTTCTGCAACCTGGGACAGCTGCTTAGAAGGTGGTCCACCCCCTAAAAGGAAATCCAGTAAATCAATATATACACAATAATTAGGCATTTCAATTAACTTTGCCAGCAGGTGTAAGGAAGTGGTATATCACTCACCTGTGCGTGAAGCTTCACGTTTTTGTGCCGCAATCTCCTCTTTTGCTTTTGACTGCAACACATACCACCGCTTCTCGCAATCCTCACTTGTGCGCACAACCAACGGAAAGGAGGCATTTATCTGTTGTGCTATAGTGTCCCAGGCTTGCTTCTTGGCTTGCACTGTGACACTGGGGCTAAATTTACCCCTCAAAACACTTTTATGCTCATTGATCAATTGAGCCAAAAGCAAACACTGTTCCTCGGTCCAGTTGGGTTTTCTTGTTCTTTTTCTCTCCATTGTTGTTCACTAGTTTGTAGCAGATGTAAAAGCCAGACAAGCCTACTTCTTATACACCTGTCAGCAATCAAGGACATTGATGAAAGCTGTGCTGTGTTACACTCGTTAATACCAAATTAAGTTGAGATGTTGATAGTTGAAAGTACAAAAGCATGCAATTAATAAAAGCAAATTAATATAACCATCACTATGTGAATATGTGGGCATTCAGTAGGATTATTTTATAGTACAGTTTACTATTCATTTAACATGTATTTTCTTTTATGTGATATGTTATTTACAATTACACAGTCTTCATAAGATTAGATTCCATAATTGAGTTTATCAATTATCACCAAAAGTAAGTTTTTTATCCAGCTTTTAGGATCAACCAATCACAGCTTTGGAAATGATGACTCATACCTAGCAACGGGGTCAACCACACCTCCTCACTAAGATAGGAGCTTCTGTCCATTCCTTGCTCAGAGTTCTCTGAGAGTGTTCTGGAATCACTCGTAAGCTAAGACTCCTTGCTGGGAATTTTTAGGCTAAGTTAGGAGCTCTCTGAGAGGATTCTCAGAATCTTTAGGAATACGGGCCCAGGATTAGACTCGGAGTTTGTTGAACCTCCTACCTGGAATACCCCTCTGCAGTGGTCGAAACATGTTGTCTCTTTTAATGATTTAGCCACAACAATAAAGGCTTTTTAATATTTCCCTCTTCATTTTTCTATATTTTCTGGAGTGCCTGGATGGCCTTCCTGTCAACCCTGTTTCCTGTTCTCCACGAGCAACCAACACAAGGTTTTGATCTACGTTTGTATACACAGAGCAAATGTCATCACACCATTTTTGACAATTTTATGGACTAAAAAGACAAACTAATGTGTTGTAATTAGTCATTGACACTTTGTTTAAATGAAATGCTACTAACTAACAAGCAATATTTAATTGCTCTGCTAGTATTTATTTATTATCTAGGCCCTCCACTGAAGTTGTGATTTCTCATTGAAAAAAGGTTATAGATCTCTCACTTAACATCAGTATGTCTGCAAATTCAGATGTATGCTCTATTTTAAAAGGTCCAGAGTATAGGATGTAGTGACATCTAGCGGTGAGGTTGCAGAACTGAAACTTCTCCCATGTGCCAAGCATGTAAGAGAAGTAAGGTGGCCAACACGAAAAAGCAAACGGCCCTGTCTAAAGCCAGTGTTTGATTTGTGCCTTCTGGGCGACTGTAGAAACAACATGGCAGACTCCATGGAAAGGACATTCTCTGTATATAAACGGCTCATTCTAAAGCAACTTAAACACAATGATTCTTAGTTTCAGGTGATTGTAAACTAATGAAAACATAATTCTAAACATAAAATTACATTTCTGCAAAAACATGCCCCTAAATCCTACAGACTTGATGCTCTGTGGGCTTCTTGCAGCAAGATGGAGGTCTAACAGTTCATCAGTAAGCGAGGTTAGAGGTTCATTAAAACCTGCTAGAAATTTAAAAAAAAAAATCTACACTGAACATTCTGCCTTACAGTTAAGCTATAAAAACATTAATCTAAAAGTAGAAATGTTACACTTGTGCCATAATAAATACGATTATAAAGGCCTCGATAACCTCACGGTTACATCATAGCCACTATATTTCCCCAACATTATTTTTCAATGTGTCCAAATATCAAAGTGAATCTATTGCAGCATGTCTGGAATAAAGTGAACCCAAGGAGGTATGCTGTGATGAAGTCAGACCTATGAAACCTTTATTACTTTAATAATGCAGTGAGTTAATTTCTTTGGCATGCATTTTAATAGCACGCAGAGTGATTATCTCAGTGCCATTAATTGAGCCAGGAGGAAGTGTTCTCTTTTATTCAGCCTCATGTATTCAGCCCTGTGTAGTACAGGAGTCCTCTCTGCTCTGGGATGCTTGGAGGAGTTCCAGATGGTCGGAGAGATATGCCAACATCCAGTGGAAGGGATACAAAATGAGCTTTTGTCACTGGGGATGCCTGGGAAACCTGAGGCTGGTTTACTGTGCAGCAGGTGCAGGGCTGTGCAGTTAAATCTACTGTAATATAGTCACCGAGATCCTTCGGTGGGTCTACAACGACATACTACTTTTGCTTTGTAGACATACACACATCAATGGCAGCTCTTCTTCCTGTTTGGTGTGAGTACGCAGGCTAAAATGCAGCGTTCAGATGATTGCCAGGGATTCTTGGGAGAGGTTCAGCATGGCAAAACATGCCACCAGGCAGGCCATCTGTTATTGTGCTTATTCTCAGCATGACTCACAATGAGCAAGGTGATCTGAACATTAAGATAAGGGCCTGTATCACTTCCTTGTTGATGCTCCAAATGCACTGAAATATGTGCTTGCTCAACCACCTTAAGCAACAGCAGCGCAATCTTACTGTACGAGTCTAAAGTGCGACTGTACACAAAAGGCAAATCTATGTAACCCATTCGCCAGTTCTTCTGCGCGCACATTCGTCATCTAAATTGGCTCGCTTGCTCCATTTTCACTGGTAATATAATTCCCTGTAGGTTTAGTTTCTGTTGGTCTTTGTGAATTTAGTGCCTCATCCTAGTTTAAACTAGTATAAACTGCTTTTTCTATTTATCAATATGACGACTGAGATTAAATTGATAAGAAGCTGACTGTGATATACCGGTTGAATGTTAGTAGCATTACCTTGAGGGGAACTTATTCCAGTTGAGAAATATCACACAGCACAGCAAAGACATGTCACAGAAAGGTGTTGATTAATTTACACAGACTTTATTATCTTTATTTACAGATGAATCATTTTTGACATATTTATCTGTTGGCGCAGTTAAGATGATGCAATATTTTTCAAACTTGTTTTGAACTATTTCCATCCAGACTTGTGACAGGTTGTGTTACTGCTGAACTTGTTTTTATTTATTTTTTTATTATTTGTTTGTTTTGTTTTCTTTCAGTTTTAAAAACAAGAATCCAAATGTATTCCTGCAGGAGGCCAAAACCAAATAAAAGTTTTAAAAAATGTGTGTGTGTGTGGGGGGGGGGGGGGGGGGGGGGGGGGNGGGGGGGGGGGGGGGGGGGGGGGGGGGGGGGGGGGGGGGGGGGGGCGGGCAGGTGATGTAAGCCATGTCGAGAACAGGTGTGGGGGATGGGAGCTGGGGTTTGCTGCAGGAGCTTTGGGTTCATCGGGGGGTGGGGATCGTGGTATGAAAATGAGTATGGCTACTGTGTGAACACCTCTGTGACACTTTAAGAGCTGGCTTCCAGAACAGGGAACAAGCCTCGTCCTATTCTGTGTTTGTGTAACTCCATGCTTGCTACCTGGTGCACTGTATAGACTCCCCACAAATTTATTTCAGTGTCCAAATTTAACATGAAAACATGTTTACGCTTTATAGTGACCTCAAAATGTCATGCAACAAGATAATGAGAGGGGTCCTGAAAATTTGAATTTACCACTCATTTAGCAACCTATACCACTACAGAGCGCCCCAAAATACTGAGTGTTTACTGTGTTAGATCAGTGACAGGTGTTGGTAGTGATGTTGGACACTGCCCAAAGAAATGACAGAACCATACCAATCTAAAAATGTGTTTAGTCTAGGACTCAGCACAATCCCTGTTTAGAAGACCAGCCCATAAGTGTGTAAAAATCATGACCACGTCAAAAAGAGCCTCCTTGAATGGCTTGACTCGCTCCTACAAAGGTTTTCACGAATGAAGGTAAATGCACTGCATAGGCAAGGATAAGCCGCTGACAGCCGCTTCTTGGTCACAGCCAGAAAAGCTGGAGAGTGGCGGGCACGGGCGGGGTCTTAAGTCTGGCATTTGCTTCAAAAGGGGCGAAGATGTGGTTGAATTTCTGATTGTAGCGCTGAGTGGAATGTTGAATCAACTTAAAGAAACCAGAGATAAGAGCTCATAGAGCGACTGATTGGAGTGTGGTACAGCAAAGGTGATGAGCAGAGAGGATAAAGGAGGAGGGGTAGTGTGGAGGTGAGGAGTCCACTTTGAAACAGAGTGTGCAACAGGGGAATAGATGCCTTGAGACAGCGGGAATTTCGGAGGAGAGAGGGTGTGTATGTGTGAGGAGGGGCGGGGGGGGGAGAGACAGGGATCAAGAGGAAAATGAAGAGGGTGTCAAGATTCAGTTACTGAGCAGTAGCTCTGTCGCTGTCTCCACGTCCCAGGATTTTGACGACAACGCCACTATTACTGCATTCTGGGAAGAAAAAAAAACAACCATTCAGAAACACTGTTTTATTCTACAACAGGATTCAATAGTGCAAAGCACAGTAGGGGAGGGAACAAAAAGTTAAGAGAAACTTACTTTTTCAAAGCCCATGGCACAGAGTTTGTCTATTTTGCGTGTGTACTCCGGACTGGAGACGGGAGCGCCTGCATAGACATGAGACCAGAGCCTCGCTGTCTGTTTGAACATCTCTGGGTTCTGCTTGTACTGTGTGATAAACAAACGTGAAAAACAACACTAAGTTTGTGTGAAAGGGGTTCAGAACACCATCATCAACAACTGAAACATTGTGCTTTTCTAGCTTCTTAGCTTAGTTCCCCAAACACATATAGAAGAGTAATGCACTTATGATCCGTCTATACTTTTTTGTATGTGTGGCTCCACAACAGATTGCCAATAAAAAAAAATCTCTCTGCAAAATGTTGAGGCTGCTGAGACAGTCAGAGGAAGGAGTACAGCTGCAGTCTGCCAGTCATCAGTCATTTCTGCCCAGTGCTGCTCAGAAGTGTGTTTTCATGCTGTGTTTGCATTTTTAAATTGAAATGCAGGTGTAGATTTTCCATGATCATAAACTATTAGCATTTAAACTGTTTGATCAACCCACTCAAGACTTCCTTTCAATCAGTTTGTGTCTAGAGCAATCTGAGTTGATCAGATCAGATTGATAGATTAGAGAAGCAGCTACTGCAGAGTCGAGTGAAAGCCGACTTTCTTATCAGCACTGAATCACAGTTTTTATCAAAGGCAGACTGGAAAACAAAAGATAAAACTATATGAATTAACAGTGCTGCACAATATGACTTCTAAATAATATTGCATTATTTTAACTCTATAAGGCAACACACAATATTTATCTCGATATTGTGAAATGCCATAATAAAGTTAAATGTAGTACTGTTACAGTTAAATAAATCAAAGAGGAACCACTGGCGCTTTTATTTTGAAGAACCCAGCTTTTCTCGGGCCAGAAGTGTTGATGATTTTGCTGTGAACTTGAAGCTTCAAGTCAACAGTTGTTGTTAGCAGCTAGCAGAAAGTTAAACCATTACTGTGGCGCCTTCAAACGTGAGGATTTATTCACTGTGAGCTGGAAACAAACTAGCAGCTCTCCGGTTCATATATTAATAATATCTGCAAGTCACAATGGTGCTCCATGGTCGCAAAATCTGACTAAATAGTAGCATTCTGGAGCCCTGCAGATACAAAAACACACGCTTCGCCTACTCACACATTATCAATCTGGAGAAAGTGGTCTGGATGGTCGGAGAAGTGTGTGGGATGCATCATGTTTGCAAGTGTTTCTTAGTGTGTGTGTGTCTGTGAGAGGGAGAGAGCCATAGGAGAGAGCAAATGAACTGAAATATCGAAATGAGTCTCATGCCGGAGGCTTAAAAAAATGACGTGACAATGTATACTCGATGTTCATGATATTATCATTTTCCACATCCCACATGGAATAAGCCGTGATACACTGAGTATAATCGATATAGCACCCACCCCTATGAATTACCGAATATTTACGTTTCATGTTCACTGTGTTTGGCAGTCTGCTGCTCTGTTTGTGCCCAGAGTACACTCTGCCACAGGAAAGAGACAGAGAGGGAGAGAAACACAGCTCCAAAAAAAAATCTAAATGTGGCAGCAAATGCTGATATTGTGGTGGTGCACCACAAATAAGTGGATGTGTGGGAAACCCTGCAATTTAAGGTGCAACACCTTCCACACCACCTACACTGCCTCAGGTTTCTACTCCATAATAACGCTCTGACCAACTGTAAACCATGTAAACAACATGAATATGGCTGGACATCTACTCAACAAAAATATCTCATACTAAATTTTACATAACCCCATTTCATTCCTTCATGTGTGTTTCATTGGGATGTGGGTTGCTAAGCAATAGATTAGTGGTACTACAGTACATGACACAAGGATTAGTGACAGTATGTAGGTGTTATGATGTGTTCAATAAAGTGGGATAATCTTTTCAATAAGAAAAGTAGGTGAAGGGCAAACCGCTAACTGCCTACACATGATATTTCACAACAGTTTAACGCTTTGAGCACTGCACTGAAAATTATTTAACATGTATCAATTAGCTGACGTGCAGCACAGAAAGAAGCATAATGCATCAACCCATTTAAGGTCATTTAAGGTAACAATCCAGGGTCATACACAGGTGAACCTGATGTATATATCTGAACAAACAAATCTACTCGACAATTAACATTATGGTTGCAATCAATGCCAACATTTCCTCTATGCTAATATTTTGGTAGCATCTAATAATGTATCTAAATAAAGTTATAATCATATAATTTCTCCAGTGATATTTATGAGAAAGACATCACAGTTGAGGTTTTGAAATATGTATCATTTAGTACAAGTCAAGGAGAGAATTGTGTGCCAGGTGGATGATGGGATTTGTCAGTCATTTGACAAAAAATACAACTGTAACCCTAATTTATGAAATTCAGGATATATATAACACCATAAACATTATGAGTCTATGTGTCTGAAAGAAAGTTAAATAAAAAAATTGAGCAGTTGTCGCTCGGGGTTAGCATTTAATGTTCCCCTGCTTTTCATAGAAACGTGTCAATAAGAATTTGATTCATCCTGCTGACAGGGACAGATGTGTGAGGTGCATATCATGATCAGTGTTTTGGCTTAGAAGCCTGCCTTGCACAAATCTTTCCCTGCCAATTGTTCCCATACACCATCACTTCTAATTGTCATTAAAGGCAAAACTGTCATAGTGAAAGAAAGAGCGGGACAGGAGAGGACCTTCCTGCTCTAAATGCCAGTCTTTCCCAGTAGTCTGTGGCATCAACTGAGAAAATGGTGAAAAATCCATATCACATTGGGCCCTTGGTGACTTCATCAAATGCCTTACTTTGTCTGACCGACTATTTAAGACACAATAACATTCAATATACTATAACGTAAGACCAAGAAGAGCAGCGAATCTCACATTTGGAATCATCAAACGACAAAAAAATAGAGTTTACTACACTACACTAGACCATGTCTACATAAGTATTTGATTAAATAATCACCTTGTGATGTTTTGAGCTACATGCTCACACCTTCGAATACCGACTAGGCTAGAACCTGGAACTATCATCTGATGACAGCTCTGCAGCAGTCTGTCAACAAGCCCCATCCACTAGTAGGTAGTTTGTCTTGGCAGGTGCCACTGTAGGACCAAATGATACTGCCACAATCAAGTATCAAGTAACACTATATTTCTGACAAATTCTTCCAGTGATGTGACATTTTGGGTGTGAATACAGAAGCTATTTAGTGGTTGATAAATGTTGAGTAACAATAATTAGTAGTGTCGGTATGATGTCCACGCAGGTGAAGGAATTTACTGGTCATTTACCTCAGTAGAACCCTTTCAATTTAATATAAACGTCCCTAATTATACCAGGATTACATGGACAGGATATTGCTCTAAATGCTGAGGTTATGAAAGCGACTGTATATTAAACACTGAACTCTTGGTGCACTGAGTTCGGACATCAGCTAACAGTAAATGAAGCTTCTACAAGCAACATTTGAGCTACATCACAATAACCAGATACCTAAAACAAATCTAGTGTCAGATGAAAGTGAGTACAGTATTACACACGTTTAAAAAACAGAAATACATCAGTGCCAAATGACAGTCAAAACATAATACAAAGGCACACCGACCTGATTGGCTACCACTGCGTCTTGTGGATCATCTGGTTCTGCGGCTGCCAATAAGGCTTGTAGTGACAAGAGAACCGTCCTCAGTGTCATAGCTGCTGCCCTGAAAGAACATACAAGATACTGTTTAGTGCAACACAAAAATAAGGTCAGCTTTCCTGAAGGACTTGAAGAGATGTGCTTCCCCAAAAGTGTCCATTACTGCATGTGAAGGGCAGAGGAATATTTTTTAATACTCAACATGATAATGGACCGGCTAGTTTAGGGGTACGCTATGCAGGACTGTTTGTTTATGTTTGTAAACACCCTCGCCAGCAACAGTGAAAGTAAAAGTCAACTCAAGCTCCACCCTCCTTGGTGTTTCACCTCACTATATTTGAGTTCTTTTGGCGCTGTGTCTCTTGGATGCTTGCTGCTTATGGTCTGGCACCTGGTTACTACCTTTATATAAAGCCCCAACTTCACTTGAGCGCTGTGGGGGTACACACCCATAAACATCCCGAACACAGACAATAAGAAAAAAAAAATCAGGCAGAGGGCAGAGTCTCTGCAGTTAAATACACTATCACACACTTTTACTGGGCCATAAGTAAAGACTGAGAGGGATTAATCCTGTATGAATCGAGACATTGTGGTTTTTAAAGAAATCCTGCATAATATGTCTTCAAATACCTTTGACTTATTGGGATTGATCAGAACAACTAAAGCTTTCCAAATCATCAGGCTCATTCATCTACTTAACTTTGTTTAACTATGTTTTACATTGTGTTGACGTGTGTGTAGGAGCTTGGATCAAAGCATACTGAGGCTATTTTTTATAGTTAAAATTTGAAATTATTGACAAAATGATTGTGTTGTTATCTAACTGTTGACAGAGGTGGGCATTAGAACAGCAACTTAGAAATGGCTGTGACTTTGGTCTGACACTGTACACAACTGAACAAGTATTTCACGATAGTTGTGTGATGGATGAAGAATGTTAGGAATGCTGGCGCACATTCACTCACCACTGGTCTTTGAGAATGTCCAGACATATTGCACCTGTGACCGAGCTGATGTTGGGATGCCAGATCTTCGTGATAAACCGCACCTGAGAGGTTATATGAAAAGGGTATGAAGAAAATCATCTGTGGATTAGCACAGTTAATGGAGAACTTCTGAGGCTCATGTCCTCAAGGAAATGGATGCTTATCAGCAACAATACCAGTAATGAATCCCTACCTTGGGTGGATTGAATGGATACGTCTCTGGAATTTTAATTTCTAGTTGATATCTACCCCCTGGAAGAAATGAGAGGTATCGCAATTATTTATGAATCATGACAGGGTTATTTCAAGCATGAATTTAAAGAGCGACTATTAAGATGCTTTAGTTTGTATTATTAAGGATGAAAAGCCTCTTGAAGTAGTTAGTTGGTGAGGCCATCTCAAAAATAAAGTGGTTGTCAGTGATGCCCATTATCACATAAGGAACTTGTGCCACCATGCATACAGGTTAGCAGTGTGTCTAAACGAGCCCCTCACCTTCATATGGTGTGTCAGGTGGCCCTGCTATCTCCCCTTTAAGTTCTGTGAAGTTCTCATCCACCAGATCCACCTTTATCTGGTTTTTGCTCGTCTGAAAGAGTGAAAAAGGCAAAGAGGCGTTATGACTTCAGCAGACAGGCAGACTGCAAAGTGTTAAACTAGCTTGCTGTCAAACTCCAACCTGCCTATGCAGCAGAAGTTGACACCCCCCCCGCCCCGCAGCATTAGCCAAAGTTGACCTCAACTTGTTGCACACATCTTACGGATCTACATATAATACGCGCTCTAGTGTAAGCTGAGACGCATCTATGCAGATCTGGGGGAACACAAGTGAGAGCAAACCCTCAGTACTACACGCGGATCACACCAGTCTATCTTTGCTAACACCGCTAGCTTGGCAACCATAGAAGGCATGGTAAGCTAGCCAGCTACGGTAGCAATATGAACTCGAGGCTAAATTATTTCCGGGAATGCTTCCACAGCCTGGCAAACTGCTGGCAAACAACAGTAACATCCTCAGCTTTAACTCCCCCACAGTGGCATATTAATAGCTAGCTGTATTAGCCATTTGTGAAGCCGGATGCACCGCCGTGTCTGACACAGTTAGCTAAAGCTAGCAGCTGGGTGATTAGAAAGCTGACAGCCAGCGACGCGTCACTAACATACAGCTCCGAAGGCAAAGAAATAAACAAGGAAAGCAGCAACACTGAGAGGCAAACGTGACAACACACCTCTTCGCTTTTGAGAACCTCCTTGAATTCCCGTTTTATCCTCTGAACTGCGATGTTGGCCATGGTTCCCCCGTGTTCCCGTCCGGTTGGGGCCTCGCCGCCGTCCGACCTGACTAACGTTAGCTAGCTTGCTCTGCCTACAGTAGCTCTGCACTTTTTGGATACAACATCAAAAATAACCGTTGGAACGTTGTTCGCCGCGAGCGCCGTCAGTCCCGGTTATCAGCGTGACGTTATAATGCGTTCAAGCCGCTCAGCGTGTGTCTATCATCTCAAATGTGTAACAACACAATGGTTGGTGGTACTGAAAACATTTTAATACCAAACTGCATGCAGTCTGGAGGAGAGGGGGTCATGTGATCTGTATTGCCATCCTGAACGCGTCCTCCCATTGGCTGATCTGTTCGTGATTAATAATTCATCAATATTATTATTATTAGTATTGCTAATATTATTCAGAGCTCTAAAATTATATGATGTCTACAGGGGTGGTATATATTATGTTATAGGTAACATTTTAATGCAGAATAAAAGTCATCTCAGAACAAACCCAAACAAGTAAGGGACTGTTCTTAAATTATCAGAGGAGGGGGCGGCTGGGGTGTGACCTAATTTTATTTATTTATTTATTCATTTATTTTTTGTTTTGTTTATCTGACTGTTCCTGCCTGCAGCTATGCAGCTACAAATATTTTTTCTTGAGCCTCTGAGGGACTGGCAGAAAATGCATGACCCTCCCTCCACCATAAATTAGATATTAGATATTAGATTTTTAAAACTAATCCTCTGATGTCTGAAAGTTATAAGTAGAAACAAAAGCCTGGGGTCCATTCCAGAAAGCAAAGGCCTGTACTACGAAGCCAGTTCATCTTACCCAGGATATCTTTTCGTTATCTGGCTTAACTAACCCTAACATTGACCTTTTGGATAACAGGTGCTACAAAGCTGGTTATCAGCTAGCTCAGTCAACTCTGGGTTTCCCTGTCCAGCCAAGAGCACGTTCATGTGAATGAGGCGGGTTAATTATGAGCAACATCACAGAACCATGAATAAAGTAAGCTACTACATATCATGTGATATGAAACTGTACCGAAAGAGTTTGCCACTAGGAAAAATGTCAATGGCGTGGCATGTAAATGATACTCTGATATTCTAAATCTTATAACGGAAATGTAGAGATATTTAAAATACTATCCAAAAAGTCACTGTTGGCTGAGTCTTAAATCACATGTAGGTATCACTAGTGACATAAGTATTGAGTATCTTTTGCCATTTAGTTGGATGATGATGAATATGTCAGATGAAACACTTAAACTTAATGCCAGACTGTTTCTGCTACTGAAGTAAATTTAATGACTGATGAGGTCTGTCTGACCCAGATGTTGCATTTATAATAACAGAGGCCAAGTGTGTGGATTATTTTGCTAATGAAATATTATCTTTGTTTCCTAGTTCTCATCACACAGGTGTCTCATGTTATTCTGAGCTGCAGTATAAAATAGCAACACCATCAGTGGGAACTAATGTAAACTATGCTAAAATCATGTGTTTAGTGCTGTAAATGATCTCTCCGTTTTTAGAAGCACTGTTTTAAAACCCAATGAGCAGTCCTCTGCCTCTAGGCTCGGTCCCTAATAATGAAAATACCTACTATTACTACTGACCTCTAACAATATGTAGGCTTTTTATCTGAGACTCCGGACTTTCATCCGTGGATACTTTTTTCTTCAGTGATCTGACAAGGAAAAAACAGACTGGAGGCCAGTTCAGTCCATTATACTAATGGAAACACACTGACCATGATAACGCACAGTACGGCATGATCCAGCTGTTTTATGATGTCTGTCTGTATGTCTGTAGTAACCACAGACTATAAATAAGGTAGTGACATCACAACACACAACACCCTTTGGGGGTTGATATTTTTTCTGGTGACACAATGGAGTCAATTTCAGGTGGTAATGCCATGTGTGAAACAGTAAATGTAATAATATTAGCTGAAATTTTGTTGGTAACGTGTTATATTACTTTGTTACCGCTAACACAAAATATATTACTGTAACACATCACTTTTCTAACACATTACCCCCAACACTGGTTACCACAGTAACATAATTTGGAACTGAGAACACAGAGTTTCCCTCAACTCAGGGTTAACTAACTCAAGAGTTCTCACAAAACCTGCTCTCTGAAGCTGCTCCCTCCCTGAAGCTCACAAAATCCTTGAGTTTTCCCCCTGGTTGTGCATGCTGGTTAGTTAGTGCAAACCATTTATTTTTGGCCTTTTTTTAAATTAGACATATACTAAAGTGATTCCGATGAAATATCACTATTTTAAGCTCAGATTTGGTCATGTTCTTTTCTGACAGAAGCTTTCATTCCACATTATGTGTCCTAGGACTCCTCGGAGAAATTTTGAAAATTCAACAATAATTTCTGTTTTCACAGTTTCTGGATATGATAAATGGTGTCATGGTGATCTTTAAAGGAAACATGCCTTACAAACCCACATTTTCTTTAAAAATCTGCAATAAAATAAATCAAAAATACAACCATTCAAATCTGTATATCCCTCCCCTGAGCCAAAATGAGAAAAAGTTCTTCCTCTGTGCTTAAAAAAATATTTGACATACCTCCCCCTTCTTGCACCACCCTCATAAATAACAAACAGTCCCTAAACAGGGTTGCACGCAATGACTAGCAGATTTCATTTCATCATTAACATGTGATCATTTACATGTTGTCACAAATGTTCTGAAATGAAGTGAAGCAACACTGTTCTTATGAGTTTAAAGTATGTCTCACATGAAGTGAACATGAAGAGTCGGTCGCTCTACATTACTGCAGCAAGCCCTTCTGTTTTCATCTAATGATCCCAGTTAACTGTATGTCTGCCTCACATAGCCTATGCACCTCATGTAAATCAAAGATAAATGCTGTTGAAGACAAATAAGGACAAATATAAGTTAAAAGATTTTTTTTTTACTCTTAAGGGACCATGAAATCCCCAGAGAAGCACTCATAAAGAACAATTAAAGACAGTGAGGGAATAGGGTAGAGATTCATACTAATGCAGTCATACTCAGCTGTACTCTAATGTAGGCTGAACATCTAGCAACAATCATGTCAACCTCTGTAATGCTAAATAATATCAACTGTCCACAGGCGTTGCAGGGCACTGACAAGCGAGCGTTTTAGGGCGACTGAACAAGACGTAGGCTGAAGACTTTCACTTAAGGTAGATGTCATTGGAATCACAGTCAGATCACCTCAAATAGAGACAATGATGTTTTGTGTGTTCAAGAGTGCTTCACTTTGGGGTTGTCTTAACATATTTTCACTGGACAGATCCATGTTTCACCACAGTGTTTCACATTGTTTCATCAGAGCTACAAACTGTGACACTAGGGGGCGCCATTGTCCTGTACAGATTCACACAATTTGCCAAATTGAACATTATATCTGGTGTTTAAATGAAGTGGATACCACTTGTAACTATCTTTTTATTCCTGTTCTTACAAAGATTTGTACAATCCACAATTACATCTGAACAAGCTCATACAGTGCACAATATATTAAAGTCACATTTTAGTCTGATCTGTACAATATAATCACCACAGACTTACTTTATCACAATATTAGAATAATTGCATCAACACATTTTCTCCAGAATGTGGTCATAATGTCAGCAGCTAGGTAGAGCATGTCCTTTCTTTTACAGTATAAAGCTCACATAATCAATTATTAACATTTGTAAAATAACGTCTAGAGACTTTGGCAATAAGTGAATGTGTTGATCTCATGGTCATTAAATGTATGAACACACTAACAAAAGAGTTTTTTAAAACTGTCCCAACCAATGAAATAAACCCGTTATTACAGTCAAATGTATGGAGACAGTTTTTCTTGTTGGTAAACTGATCACACATTTGTCACAAGCACAGATACAAGCATTTTTGGACCAGTTAGCGCTTGACAGGTGGACATGAGCAGACAGGGACTCCCTCCTTTCTCCTCCTCCTGATCACCCCCCTCCTCCTGCCTCTTGTTTGGTTCCTCTTGGTGATGATGACAAAGATGACAAGTGCTGTCAACATAACCGCTGTTACCAGGAGGCAGCCTCCGAAGACCAGCATGGCTTTGTTCTCGAACATCCATGTGCATACAGAGCAATGTTCATGCAGCTGACTAGACCTGCAGGCCTGCGTGGTGTTGTCCTCAGGGAAACCACCACGAGTGATGATTTCTCTGTAGACAGCGATGGAGGCTTTGGCTTTGGATTGGTGATGGGTTGAGGTAAAGAGGCCAAATTGAGGGGCATGCCGATCTTGCAGTTTCCACACGTAGAAGCCCTGCAGGTTGACGCCATCTAATTGGCGAGCTGGAGACAAATAGGGGAAGAAGTGAGACCAGAATCAACTCTCTAAGTCCTTTTCAAACAGTATGAATAACCCAGATATACTTTATGTTACCATCATAAAAAACATCCAAATGTTAACAGTGAATGTCAAAGGGTTACCCGTGTTATAAAACAACATGTGTGTGCATATACAGGTGGGGTAAGAGCCATAAAGGGCACGAACACAACACTGAGCACTGCACTGTGTTTCTCTCCCCTGCTCTCTCTTTTTATGATCTTCATGGTTTCTCATTACATCTGTTTTTTATGGTAGGAAGCAATGTGACCATAAAACATGTACTGCCTGTGGATCTGTGCCTCTTTCTCAACATCCTGAACACTGCAGAGGTCAATTGGCTCCTACTGAAAAACAATTACGCAAAACATTCTCGAAGAGGAGCATTAAATGCAGTGGTGGAAGAAGTATTCAGATACTTTAGTTAAGTAAAGGCAGTAATACCTCACTGTGAATATACTCAAATACAAGTAAATGTCCTGTAAAGTAAAGGTATGTATTATCAGAAAATGTACTTAAAGTATGAAGTATTCAGATCATTTAGTTGAGTGAAAGTACTAATGCTGCTGTGAAAATACTCTACAAGTAAAAGTCCTAAGATATTTTTAGATTCATATTACTGCTGCATTAATATGTTGTATTTTACAGCCGTGGGTGTTTAAGGTTGTGCTTATTTTAACTCCTTTATATACTGCTGGGGAGTTTAATCCAGTGGTTTTCAAACTGCTGAAACCACACACCACAAGGCAATCCAAAATCTCAAGACACACCTGTTTTTATATCTGTGCACAATAGCCTCTATAACATGTGTTATCACTCTTATCACAACATAAATGTTTGTTTTTACTTATTAATATCAAATAACAATTGACAACTATTACTCATGAAATATTAATGAACAAACTGATTTAAGAATTCATTTTAAACTTTTTAAAATTACATCAAAGCACCAGTAACACATCCATTGAAACAGAAATAAATGTAAGGTAATGTAAGGTAATATGATGTGTCACACACTTGATTAGATTAAATTGAATTAAATGACATTTTTTAGGTAGTTTGCCTCTTTATTAGGAACATACTGATTAAAAATCAAATAAAAACTTTTTGTATAGGCTCAGTTGAATATTTCAATAATAATGTGTGGTTACCGCAAAATCTCACGGCACACCTGGATTTGCATCATGGCACACCAGTGTGCCACAGCATGCCATTTGAGAACCACTAGTTTAATCTACATCAATGTATCATATTCTTTAACATCATCATATATTTATGGGATCACGTTCCTGTGAAAACCAGGTATCTCTATCTTTCATGAGCTCAGCACGAGAAAGGTTTTAACGAGCTTATTCAGCCTAAGCAGTAGAAGTATTTTCTCAATCCATAAATTGTTTTCACCTGAAAAGGTATGAAGAAATTTAATCTGAAAAGTAACTAAAGCTGCTGCACAAATTCAGTGAAGTAACAATATCTGCCTCTGAGATGTAGTGGAGCAGAAAAATAAAACTACACAAAGGGGAAATACTATGCCTCAAATACAAATACAAGTACCTCAAATTTGTACTAAAGTAAATTACTTGAGTAAATGTATTTAGTTACTTCCACCACTGACTGCATGTTGGCACGCTGATGGAGATGTAGGATCTGAAATGCATGTCCCACTGTAAAAAAAGGCTCTGGCATGTGAGTTAACTAGCCAATTAATCACCATAGCAACCACAGGTCAGTCAGTCACTGTGACAGGACGTCAGCCAAGTAAACCTTACCTGTTGCGTGCGTAGAATACTAAAAAAAAACACATACGCAACCTGCCGTTGTGGCAGATAGATGGATAAGACTGTAAACAGTTGTGCCTATGAACCCAATTCCATACAGTTTTAGTTTTTTGGGCCCAAATCCAGTCTCCGTGTCTTGACCCAACACCCCACATTGGTGAACAATACCAAAGCCAGCTAAAGCCTTCTTTACACCCACCTTTAAAGGCCTCCTGCAGATAACTCCTGATAAAGTGTTGCCTGACTTTGTCCTCCACAGGAGCCTGGTCATCAACCCCACTGGCTGTCACAATGATAGGCAGAGTCCCTCCGTATCTCTGGCTCACCCAGTTCAGGATCTTCCGCAGGCCCCAGGGTACAAGAGCCTGCCCCAGACTGGAGGAGGCCCAGGTGGGATCAGAGAGGATCAGACAGCCGTGATCAGGGGGCTCTTTCTGCTGAAAACTAGCCTGTGTGTGGGGATACAGAGAGACCAAGCGGGTGGTGAAATGATTCAGTGCGATAAAGCTCAATGTCCCTCTCAGCTCCTCCTTCTCAGTCTCGGTAAAGGTAGGAAGAGCAGATCCAGGGAAGCCCATTACTCGAGCTCTCTCCTTCAGGTATGCTTTCATTTCTTGTGGGTAGTCCCCCTTGCTATGCTTCTCCTCATATAAAGTCCCCAGCAATGGGTCTAAGAAGCGCCCAAGCTCAAACAAAAGGAATCTCTGTGCTGCTGCTGTATGCGAGTCCAGGAAGGGGTTTGCAGGTTCGACCCAGTCAGCATGTAATGCAAGTGACACAAGTGCTTTCTGTTGACCTGAGTGTTCCCTCTCATACAGCCTCCAGGCTTTTGCATGAGCCAGAAGAAGGTTGTGAGCTGCCTGATGCTTCTCTTTCCTACTGGAATAAACATCTACCAGTCTGTTCGGCTCATTGACGGTGATCCAGTATGGGACCCAGGACCCCAGCTGCTGGTAGCACAGAGCTGCGTATTCCTGAAAGGCCTCCACTGTGCTGTAGTTGAGCCAACCACCAGAGGCATACAATGGACCAGGCAAGCCCAGGTTTGGAGCTCTGTGTGTGGGGTAGTAGAGAATAACAACAGCCTGCAGGTCCAGCTTCTTGAGCTCGGTCAGGACACAGCGGTAGTACCTTTCAGATGTAATAACATTGTGAAACAGAGTTATAGGATCAGGAGGTCTTTAAATCTTTAAATTGATCTGAATCTGCTGTGAATCAGGTTATGTTATAGCTTTGAATTTAATTTTAATTTAAATCAATAAAATTGGGGAAACTGTCCCTGTTTGTGTGTTTGTGTGTTTCTACCTCAGAGCCTCAGTGTTCACATTAGAGAGGTCTCCCTCGGGTAAAATCAGAGACCAGTTGAGAGCGAAGCGATAGTGAGATGCCCCAGTAGATGCAAACAGGCGAAGATGACCACGAATGGCCAAGTAGTCGGTGCACTGGGCTCCTCTGGTGTGCATCTCCACCCCTGGGACTGGACGCAATGATCCGTCTCCTGTCAGGTTCCAGCTGTACAAATGGGGGTCGGTAAACTGTGGTGAGTAAGGGTAGAAGTGGACCTGCAATAACAAAAAAAAAAAAGACAGAAAAAGAATATTAGGGTAAATATAGCAGTTACTTTAGGATATTTTTTTTGCTGTTAAGTCACTGTCTTGTCCTCTTAGGTTATTTCTCTTTTTACCTGTAAAGTGGAGTCAGCGATACCCCAGTGAAAGTCGCAGGGGAAACGGCCTTTAATCTCTCTGGAGGTTTCATCTCTGAGGAAACCATTGTCAGTGACAACACGTCTGTAGTACTGAGCACTGGTCTTGGGGGTCCTGCTCTGGTTCTGTTGGCTGAAGTCAATGTAGAAAAGGCCTCTCCTGACAGTGTAGCCATAGTTCCACTCAAATCCATCCACCAGTGACCAGGTGGAGTATCCTATCACCTGCACACCATCAAATTTTATAGCTGTAAAAGAAAAAACAGCAATAAAAAGTTAAAACAATTTATTTTTTCTTTGTTTCTGCAAAAAAACATAAAGTGTCCTTTTTTTTCCCATCCCAGTTTTCTCACCTTGCAGGACCTGGTTGATAAACCTCTTCATCAGGTAAATGGCCACTGTGTCCTCCTTTCCCACACTGGCTTCAGAAAACCAGCCTCCCTCAGTCACCAGCACCGTCGGGTCCTCATACTCCAACTTTATCCAGCCCAGTAAACGCCTCAGGTCTGGAGTCACAGTCTGCCCATACTGGACCAGGCTCCGGCCCAGACGGAGGTTGTTAGGTCCAAAGGACAGAGCAAAAAAGTCAGCTGTTTTCTGAACCCAGAGCTTCTCCTCAGGGGTGAATGTTGGCATGAGGGCCCCATGCTTGATTTTTAAGGAGACTGGGTAGTCCCCATCTCCAAAGATGGGGTTGGCAAACCAGCCAAGCACAGCCTCCATTGAATGCTGGCAAAGCTCAATATTAGCAGCTGTGGCTTGGCCTCTCTGAGGCTCAACCCAGTGGGACCCCAAAACAATGGATACTTTACCCTTCTGAGCTGGACGGAAGTGGGTGTTGTAGGTGTGCCATGCTTTGGCATGTGCCTGAAAATCACAGCAGACACTTTATTATTATTAACACAGTTGTACAATTGGCCTTTTTCACAGAAGACATGTCACAGAAGGAAAAGCACAGGTGTAAATAATAAAACAAATCATGGCTGAATTGCATTTAGCTGCAGTTTAAGGGTTGTGATGTTGTGCATGCTGGCTCACTGTCAGTTAAACAGGGCAGAGCCGTAACTAATATTCAAGTATCGGTCTTAGTGTGCTTTTCCTACTACGACAAGTAAAAATGTCACCTGCACCATCACTGGAATTTGTTATTTTAATGACAGAAAACTTTTATAAATGTATGAAATGACAAAGTAAATAGATTGTATTCATAAAGTACTATAAATGAACAGATATGATAAATAATTGCATGTTCCTCTGCCTTGATTTTGTCTAATTTTCCACAAAATTTCATTCAAAGTTATATTTAGTGTCTTGAGATATCATACTAGCTAACAGATAAATAAGCAACAAACAGCTTCTTTCTGTAGCGGAAGCAATAGAGTCATAATGAAAACAATCTTGTAGGCACCACAGAATCACTGTCGGCTCAGCTATCTGCATGGTGTTAGCTGTCCACAAACCATCTGTGCTAGATTGCATAAATATAAGTGATTATTAATGAGGCATATCTCCATGACTTCCTGTCACACACTGTTTCGCTCCAGCAGAGAAGTGCTGATGTGGTGGACTTTGACCTCAATCTCTCTTTAAGTGTCCTGTTTACTGATCGCAAACCTGTCAAAATAAATTATGATCACCAGGTCATTGATGAGATAAAATAAAAAAGGCTTTGCACCAGTTATACGTTTCAATGCAATAAATCAAACTTCACTAACTTTATTGATATAATTCAACTGCAAGAAAATGTTGGTGCAGTCTGTTCTTGTGTCACTGCGTTGAGAATGCACTGACCATCATAAACTGATACAGCTGCTGCAGTTCAAAGTTTACAGACGGTCAATATCACCAGAGAAATTCTTCATGCACTGTCATCTACAGTCCAGGCAGATAAAGCACAATTATATTAATCTACAGAGTCACATTAAATCAGTTGACCCTGTTTAACTTACCCTGATCAGGTTGTGGGCCACAATGAGAGAGGCAGCAGGACCCCCTGTTTCTCCAGGAGCGTGCACACCTGTCCCGTACCCCTGCACAGCTACCAGATATGGATTATGCATCGTGAGCCAATACTTGACACGGCTCCCAAATGTGTGGAAACAAAATGCAGCATACTCCCCAAACAGTCCCACCAGCTTGTCATTTCTCCAGCCTCCATAGCGCTCCTGCAGGACTTGCGGCAGGTCCCAGTGATAGAGGGTGACGATGGGCTCAATTTTCCTCTCCAGCAGCCTCTCTATGAGCCGTCTGTAATGCTGCACAGCAGCTGTGTTGGGCTGACCTCTGGCATTCCCATCAGGAAAGAGTCGGGGCCACGAGAGAGAGAAGGAGTACGATCTCACACCTAGATACACCAGTGCCTCCACATCTTCTTCCCAGCGAGTGTAGCTGTCACTAGCCACATCGGCAGTGTCTTTTGCCAAATTACCACTGACACTAGAGTGGGTGAAATGGTCCCATATAGAAGCGCCTTTACCCTCTTGGTCCCATGCTCCCTCTGTCTGGAAGGCAGACGTCCCTGAACCCCAGAGGAATCCTGAAGGGAAGGTGTCATGGAGGAAAGACTGCTCTTTGGTGATGGGGTCCGGTTTGGGCTGCTGCCAAATCTTCACGCCATCCCCAAGAGAGCAGGTGGCCTTGTTCCAACCACACAGCAGCAACAGGAGGGAGAGTAGGAGAGTGGGAGGAGAGGGATGGGTCAGCATACTGACTTGTTTCAGAAATCCACTTGAATGAGGTAGCCGGTGTCAGTCAGAGCCAATGCTCTATTCAATATCGTGAATCCTCTGGAGAAAGACAAGAGAGCCATTGTGGTGGAGGAGAGAGGAGAACAATCACATCCAGGACAGAGAGCAACATCTGAGGCTTCGAGGTGCTGCCTTATGCATCTGACAACCTGGTCAGACTTCCCTATCTCTTCCTGAGTGTACTTGTGCTCCCACTCAGCCCCTCCCTACCACATAATGTCCACACATACAAAGGGTGAGTCATATTCCCACACACTTATGTTACATTTTGAGAGCTTTCCAGGGAATTATTTTCACCTGTAGTTCACTTAAATCACATCAAATAAAAAAGGGACCAACACCTAAGAGGATATTACTGAGTTATTCCTGAGAGGACACACACACACACACACACACACACACACACACACACACACACACACACACACACACACACACACACACAGAGCTCTAAACATGCTGCTGATTGCTGTAAAAATGTCCTTGTGTCAATAATTAGCTTGTACTCTGATCTTAGCTCCATAACTAAGAAGCAGTTCACATTGCAGTCTCCATTTTACGGTGGACACTGAAAACAACAACAACAACAGGCTGTTTTCTGTTGTCTTATGGCCAGAGGCTGTTTAGCACGTCCGCAGTGATAATCCAAGATTTGATCAAACCATGCTAGGTGAGAACAGTGACACCAGCTCATATTACCTCATTCAATTAAGCTCCCTTTGCGGTATGAGTAACAGCCACTGACCCGAGGAACCAACAGTGCTGCTGGACTGAAAACATTGCTGGGAAGTGTGTGTTTGTGTGACGGTCCATCTGTCTGGGCACACGCACGCTTGTCCTCATTAAAACCCATGGAAAAGCCCCTTCCTCATCCCTCTTCATTAAAGGCAGTGTCTATAGCAGAGTAAACAGCGTAGTTGCCCAGGATACACTTTGCTTCAAGGCATTAGAGCGAGAAGTTAATTGAGTTGAAATGGTCATCTACCACCCGGACTGACCTCAGCGTGGTCGCTAGGTACTGAAGACAAGACGGCTGAGAACACTGAGGTGCATTTCAAACGTGTCATTCATGCAACGCCCTTACAGACATACACTTTGCATAGTAGAGAAAACTGTTTGTGGTTTATAGGATGGTGTGTTTGTGACAGAGTTGGTTCTGAATGTAAATGGATCAAACCCACTGTCTTTTACAAGATGTTAAACCAATTTGTGTCCACAACTGAAATTTTGAATTTCCCTTGGTTGGAAGTGGTCTCTGGGCTTGCATAAGCACAAATCTAAAGAAATCTACAAAATCACCATTTGGCTGAAGAGGGAATTACTATATTTACTTCTTGGGCACATTCTTTCGGGGGTGATTATTTGATTTCAGGCACTGTTATGTCACTGGAATTCTTTTTTTCCTGTTATTTATATTATCATTACTTTGAATGCTATATTTCACCTTTATGCTCAATTTTTCTTTTGAAAAATTACATTTTTATTTAATTTTTTACACTGTTTTATGTTGGGATTTCACTATTTTCACCTTGTTTTGATGTTCATCTAATTTTTAATCTATATTGCTACAATGATTTCCTCTTAAGTATTTAACTTGAGTACAATTTGTGACTTTTATTTTACATAAAATATGTGTGAAAAAAGCCAACGCTCATCTGTAGGCAAAACACTTAAAGAGATGCTTGAGCTGAACTTAGAGCCTTAAAAAACAACAAAACAGCAGCCGCACACTCAAACACTGTGCATATATATCAGTTTAATGCAAGCTTTCGGTCATTGTGACCTTCTTCAGGCATACAAGACAAGTGAATGATGGGCATTCACATAAAATATGTGTAAAATATGTATATAAGTATGGGTGCCTGTATAAATGACCTCAATATGGTGTGATTTTCTATCTATGCCCTCAAAGGCAAACTAATTTCCATCATGATTTTCTGTTATTGTAAAATAATATCCATCTGTAACAAAATGATATGCTGATTTTACATAAACTATTAAAAAAACTGTAATTTAAGTATAAAAAATATTTAGTTAAACTTATAATTTCCTATTTTTTTTTGTAGTTTTTGACAAATATGTAATGATGATTTTCTGGGTACTATGTACGCTGATGTTGTCCAATATCAAGTCTCTGTTTAATCATGTAAAAAGACAATGTGATTTACTTTGACAGTCGAGCTGCAAGAACCCAGTGGCACCATTTTTACATTCTGGTACCAAAAACAAATCCCAGTGACACCCTAGATTTGGCCCATGGATTGTAAGTTGAGTGTCACTGACCAATCACAGCAAATTAATTTTTCCTTGTCATACTAAATGTAGTCTTTAGACCTTAGTGGGTAACATAGTCCAACAAATAAGAGCAGGGAAATAACAGTAGGTTATTTAAATCTAAAAAGATTTAATTAACAACAACTGAGTTGACCTAAATACTTTCAGTCTGACCAATATTTCATCATGAAGCATTATAAATATAGTAGTGTCCTTCGGTAAGAAGCTCTTTACAGTAAATTAAAGGGAAGTGAAAAAAGGATGTGCAGGAGAAAAAATAAGTGGTTGGTGTCACACTTGGTTTCATTTCCATATCTGTATCCTCTTAGGTTGTGTCAGAAAAAACAAATGAGAAGAACAGACGCAGCCAGTTGCCCACATAGCTGATGACTATCTTTTGATCAAATCAGTTTTTGTTTACTGGTGCACTTTTTTTCCCCAGGATTTAAGTAGCTTTGAATCTCTGTGACTGAGATATTCTTAAAGACTGAACACAAATACTTTCAGCCGTTCATTGAGACTATCCACTGGAAATCTATTCAAATATGACGGACTGCAACTTTTCAATCAATTAAACACTCGACAAATCAACATCTGCAGCGCCTTCTTCTGACTTCAGCACAGGTTAGTGCACTTTTTGTCTGTCTTCGTACTGTATAGTTGTTGGATTTTGTTGTATTAAGGGCTTGCTTTATTTAAAATTTTATTTTACAAAAAGATAAAGCAAAACTTTACAAACACAATGGTTGAAGCTATGCAGTAAATGGTGATGCATTTACTCAATTCAGTATTCAAAACATGGCTTAAATAAATGATCCTAATTTAAATATGTTGTGGGAAGTGTGGATGCAGAAGTAATCCTAACTTTATGACTGTTTGAAGGCAATTTCACAAACAAGACTTTCGTTGTGACCAAGTGCAGGTAACGTAGGTCAAATTACATCCTACCTTCATAACGGTTAAAATATACTGTTTGTACTATTTGTTTCTATTATTTTGTTCACCCCATTTATATCCGCTAGGGTAGTCTAAATAAAATGAGCATGAACACAGTGGTGCCTGCAGAAATTTTTCATAGGTGCAGCCAGATGGGGGTCAGTGAAAATCTTGGGGTGACACACCAAAACCAAAAGCCATAACTCAGTTTCAGGGATCTTACTATGCTGTTGTGGTAAATATAAGCCAGTTGAAAACCATGTCATCATGAGAAGTTAATGTTACTAATTATCTAATGTGCATACACTAATACTGATTCAGTTAACATTTTATGTTTCACAAAAATCCAGTTTAAACATCCTGTTTCTGTATTTATTACACAGCTTTGTTGAGTACTCAATTCTTATTGGTCAGTTACAGCCTTCTGTTATTTCTGAAAAGCAGACCATCCCTATGAAGACACTTAGCGGAGGGAATAAAATTATTTCTGATGCACAAAAATCAATTTCAAATCAAATAAAGAGCAAAACATTTACTGGCAACAAACCTGAGTTTAAAAACTCCACACACAGGCCTTCAATATATTTTGGATTATTTACATGAGGGCAGTGCAGTGGGTAAGTGATTGTATCAGAGTGGACTGTGTGCCTCCCACCCACCCACGCTCCCTGGCGGAGCCACTGCATGAACACTTCTCTAAAACAGTTTTAACAAAAACTGAACATTATAACCTCGATGAACGTATGTTTTATTCCAGGACTGTTGTGTACCTTATGAACTGTAAACTGAACTAATGTATCAACAGTAACATAGAATTTTCTTACATTTATACAGGTCAAACAATGAGGCCTGTGAATGCTGCCCTCTGGGCGGCAGCCATATTGATGGGACTCCAGCTGAGCAGTTCATCCCCTAACTTTGTAGACCTCTCATCCAAAAACCTCTCCTCTGTCCCAAGTGACCTGCCAGAGACGGTTGAGTTTTTAGACCTTTCATGCAACCACATACAGCAACTTCACCAAGGAGACTTCAAAAGCACCCCCTTCCTGAGGTTCCTCAACATTTCTTGGAATAATTTGGAGGGCATCGATCCGGAGACATTCCTCGACACGCCGCTCCTGGAGGATCTGGACCTGTCACACAACAGGCTGACGAACCTGTCAGGTCAGCGGTACCTGCTCCACACTGAGAACCTTCGGGTACTGAATCTGACCTGCAACAACTTTCTCATGATGACACTGGGGAGTGAGTTCAGTTTCCTGGTAAAACTGGAGAGTTTAGCAGTTGGAGCTCCAAACATCAGTGTCGGTGATTTCAAGAATATTGCTCAAGTCAAACTACGTACACTGACGCTTTCCCTGGAGGATCAACTGAATTATACACCAGGCAGTCTGAAGGATGTTAATGCTAAAAGGCTTCAGATAACGTTCTCTCGTTACCAAAAAATTGACCTTTATGTGATTGATGATGCTCTGTCACTCTTTGCTGAAGTGGAGTTGATGGATCTGAGACATGACTACAGGGACCTGAGTCAGCAGTTGAGCGAGAGGAAAGAAATCCTCACATCTCATCTTTATCTCACCAACATATCAATCGACTGGAATGACTTGACTCACTTCGTAAAAGCAGTTCTGCACACATCAATCAGCCATCTGAGCGCCTCCGATGTGGCCATGTCCAAATTGCCATACATTGACACTGTTGTGACCTACACATCTCAAATGGAGTCCTTCACAGCCAGCCGAGCGGTGGTGACGACTTTCTTCTTTTCACAAGAGGCTGTGTACAACTTTTTTATCAACCTGCCAGTGAAGCGTTTAGTAATCAATGAGACTTCAATCATACACATGACATGCCCAGGGTCGCAGAGTCCTATCCGCGAATTGGACTTCTCCTATTGTGCTATGTCTGATTCCATCTTCACCACAGCTGATGCTACAGGAATCAAGGAATGTATGAATCTGGGTAACTTGACGAAACTGAATTTGGCTGGCAACAGTCTTAAGAGCCTTCAGCGGCTGAGCCAGCGTGTGCAATATATGACATCCCTGCAGGATGTGGATCTCAGCTTCAACTCCCTGACTTATGATGGTCTGACAGAATGCATCTGGCCACCAAAAATCACCAATATGACTCTGGCTTCTAACAGCCTGACAGACTCTGTTTTCAAATGTCTACCAAAAGGAACGGAGACACTGGATCTACAGAACAACCAGATTTCTGTGATACCATCATCTATCCTGAAACTGGGGAACCTTAAATCTCTGAATCTGAATAGTAACAGGCTGCGGGACTTGCCAGCATGTAATGGTTTCCCCATACTGAGTGAGCTTCTGCTGAGGTCAAATTCCCTCAATACACCATCTGTGAACAACTTGGAAAGCTGCCCCAAACTGAAAACCCTGGATGTCAGTAACAACCCCTTCGCCTGCACCTGCGCTCTGAAGAATTTCATAAGTCTTGGTGTCAGGTCTGAAACGAAAAAAAGTCTCACAGGAATTGAATTGGTGAGCTGGCCATTGGACTATTGCTGCAGCTACCCGGACAATGTTCGAGACTCGACCTTGAAAGACACCCAGATCCCGGAAGTCTCCTGTAATGTTGGCCTTCTAGCTACCGCCATCTTGTGCCCAGCAATAGCAGTGATTATCGTAGTTGTGACCGCTTGCCATCGTTTGGATGTTCCCTGGTATATGGGCATGATCTGGCAGTGGACCAGGGCCAAACATCGCGCCAGAATGCGACAAGTTCGACCTGAAGATCTGGCTGGTGTTGAGTTTCATGCTTTTGTGTCTTACAGCCAGCATGACGCAGACTGGGTGCACAATTCCCTCCTCCCCAACCTTGAAGGCCCCGCAGGAGGGCTCAGAATCTGCCACCACGAGAAAAACTTTGTACCCGGAAAGACAATTATTGAGAACATCATCGGCTGCGTGGAGAAAAGCCGGCGCTCTGTGTTTGTGCTCTCTGCTCACTTCGTCAAGAGCGAGTGGTGTCATTACGAGCTGTACTTCGCCAGCCACCAGCGCCTTGCTTGGGGCTCGGACAGCGTTGTGCTGGTGCTGCTCGAGCCTCTGCCTCAATACCTGATCCCATCCAAGTACTACCAGCTGAAGTCCATGATGGGCCGCCACACATACTTAGAGTGGCCTCAGGACACGAAAAAGCACAGGCTGTTCTGGGCTAACCTCAGAGCTGCCCTACAGACCGACCTGCCAGATGCACCAGTGACAGGACTGGAGGAGTGACTGCGACAAGCACACTTAAAGATACAGTTGGTATCAGTTTGTTGGTACAGTTTGTTTTTAAAGCCTCACACGGCCTGTCACCCAAATACTTCACTGAGCTCCTCTGCCCCCTTTCCAACACTAGATCTCTAAGATCCTCAGAGCAGTTGTTCCTGGCAGTCCCGCGATCGGGGAAGGGTGATTGTGCATTTGCAGTAGTCGCTTTGGAACAGCTTACCCTTTTCAATTTTGTGCTCCCCTTCTGTAGACATGTTTAAAGACATGTTTAAAGCTAGGCAGCCACATGTTTTCTAAGGCCTTTGATTGTCCTAAAGGTTTCCATTTTTTCTTTCATTATTTTATTTCAGATCTCACTATTCTGTGCTTTCTTTTCTTTATTTTTTTTTAATTCGCTTACTTGTGCATGTTTTTGGGTTTGTTATTTCTCTAACGTTTTGCAGTTACCGTATTATGTTATTTCACTTTATTTTACTGTACAACACTTTGGTCAACTCTGGTAGTCTTTAAACATGCTTTATAAATAAATTTGATTTGGTAACTTTTATGAAAATTATATTTGCTGAAACGGTCATTACATCCACAAAGTATTACACGAGAAAGATAATCTGTGAGAAGAATTTGGCTCCTCCTCCCACTCATGCCCTTTTCAAGGCAATTTGCTTGAATCTAACCCGGGTCACTGAAAACAACCAATCAGAGCGGAGGAGTCTCAAACGCAGCGGTCGATCATGTCAATCACTGTTCATGAACTGTGGTCAACCTGTTTAACTAGGCAGCGCTGATCAAATATGAATTAAGACTCTGTAACTGCATTGCCTATTTCTCAGAACGCTTCCGCAGGTGGACGGTACTTTCTCATTTTACAGCTAAACAGTACACTAACATAAGTTTCTGACAATATTTGAGAGGATAAATGGGCAAATCTCCTGTATCCCAAAACAAAGGAATACTTTGCACATGTATTTCCAAACAGGCTCGTGGGAGAGCACTGTAACTTGCAAAAATACTGATTTTAATGCTGCACCATTTCGCTGACTGGACCTTCATCAGGTAAATAGTTTTGTGACAAAGAGAAGCCGTCTTATATTCTGGTATATTTTGATGTAACTTTACTCTGTGACATTGTGGAGGCCTAGTTGCATTTTATTATAAAGTTTCCTATTTGTGTATTGATGCTTATTCTTGATGTAAACATATCCCTATAGGTTCTTTTTTCAATGTACCTTCAAGATTTGGTCATGTATGATTTTTAGAGAATGCAAGTTAACAATAAGGGCTTAAGCATTTATTCTCAAGAATGTACCTATGGGGTATGTTTAAGATTGTCACTGAGCATTTTTTAATTTTCCTTCTTTATTCCTCTATTTCTCTGGATAATGTTGATTGTTACACTAATTGATGTTTGGTATTTAAGCCTTCCCACTGCCTGAGGGAAATGTGACTAATTGCAGACTCACAGCCACTTCTACTTAAGATGACTTCTCTTTACTAAACTGTTTGCCTGATGAAGATCTAGTCACATTGCAGCATTAAAAATCATTATTTTTGCAAGTTAGACAGTGTGCAGGAGTTTCTTCTATGAGAGAAATTGAAGATGCAGTAACAGAATCTTGTTTATTATTTGGTCATTTAATCAGTTCATGAGCAGTGATTGAAAGCTGTGCTAGAGACTTTGCGCCTCTGATTGGTTTTGTTCACAAGGCCATTAGAAGTGCTACATAAAGGCAGAGGAACATGATTTTTTTCCCCACAGATTATGTCTCATGTACTTTTGTGTGGATGTATTGACAGTTCCCAGTTTTATAATTCTTATAAAAGTGACCAACTGTAGCTTTAGGGAGAAAAGGAAGTGAGATAAGGAAGTATGGATTAGACAGAAGAGAGAAGAGGGAATGCAGTTAGAGTAAACCCATGTCGGTGCTCTAAAAAGCGTGTACATTGTATCTGGTATTCTTATTTTTATCTTGTACTATTAGTCGAAGATAAACCTATTTCCTGTAAGCTTCTAGGATATAAATCATGAAAGGCAACTTCTTTACACCATTAAGAGGAAATTTAATGGAAACATTTATATAAACTAACACTTCAAGTTTGTAACAAAAACAATAAACTTTACCCGAGAATATCAAAATGCACTTAATTTTTTTGTTAACGTCGACTCCCACAAATTGTCACAATATGATTAAACCACTTCAAATGTGGTTGAGCGTGTGTTCAGAGGAAAACTACACACATACTAAGGAAACTGCATTAGCACTGTATACTCAGAAAACCAACTCCAACTCTCTGACAAGAGAGATCCACTTTTAAGGCAAGGAGACGAATTCTTTTTGTAAGAGTTCAGTGATACATGATGATAAAGACGAGGGAGCTAGAAATGTGTCCTGTGTCGAGGTCATGAAGTCAGTCCAGCTGCATTAAAACTGTGCCTGGAATGTCAACTATGAAAAGGTTTAATAGTCACAGGCCAGGTGTCAAGGAAGAGACTGGATGATGATGATTTTCTCGTTGATGCAGAAACGGTGAAGCACACTGAACAGGTTTTCTCCACAGCGCGACACCTGCCTCTCCATGGCCAGACGGAAATCTTCCTTCACTCCTTTGGTGATCCCACGAGTCACTGTGTGGTGTCTGAAAAAAATACAAGGATAAAAAAATAAACACAAATATACATGTGGTCAGAGGTGTATTATCATGATCTGTTTTGAGACTGATCTATACAGTAAAGACAAAAAAACACAGCATGTTACTTTTTCCTTACATACACAATTAGCCAGTCAAAAAAAAAAGTTTCATCATCATAAATAAAAACCACATAAAACATGTCCACAAATGAAATGAGATCAAGTGTTATGAAAAGGCAAAAAACTAAATTGACTGCACAACAAGACCAACATCATCCTCAAAGAACAACGACAACAGTGATGACCACAGAAAGACGAGCAATGGCTCAAATAAACAAACGCCGACAGGAAATCAAACTAACTCTTGATGTAAAATGACAGGCCCAAATCAAAACTGGGGGGATGACAAGCCTTGAAGTTGGGAATGAAGGAAGGGTGACTGGTGTGGGGGGAGGGATGGGACTGAGGGAGGAGGGGCCAGGGGTACCTGTCCATCGTCTGCACCCCTTGTAGCAGAAGGGTATTTAACTCCACCCCCAGGGCGGGACTAGGGTTCCTGAGGAACAGCAACATTCAACAACTCTCAGTCAGTGAGGGTGCATTCAAGTGACTTAACTTCTACAGCAATGAATGAAGGAGCTTTATTAGTTTAACCATGAACTCCTTCTCTTTCCAGTGTTTGCTCCATTAACAGCATTTTCAGTTCAAAGTACAATTTTCCCCACAGGCCATGTCTACTTAGATCATCAATCTATATCACTGTTCTCTTTAAAAACAGCAACAGAACGGGGGTGCGCAGAGTCACGATGCAAACTGAACCATTTCTGAAAGGGAGGTGCTTACTTGATCAGCATTCCCTGATTGGGCAGCAGCTCCAGCTGAATCCTTCCCCCTTCTGGAGTGCGCAGGTATGCAAACTCCTCCAGCATGTCAATGTCTAGCAAAAATCATGAGGTTATGGAAACAAACATCCAGACAAGAGAACATAAAAACAATGTAACTGCCAATCCATTCTTGTCAGCCTCTATAGAGAGGTGAAGTCCCTCCCCTTCTGGTGAACCACCATGGGGCCCTGTTTCACAAAATATATGTATGGTAGTCAACAGTGAGAGACAATTTTTTGATCCTGTATGTGCCATTAATCACACATATGATGTTTGTCAATGTAAAATATATTTTGCAAGAAAAGAAAATTGTAGTTTGACGAAGCTTTTTAGCATCATTTAGGTTTGTGTGAAACTACTGAGCAATATACGTCACCAACATAGCTGTTACCTTGACACATTTAACTTGGTTCTTCCAGAACTTGGGAAGAAGTATTAAAAGGAGGCAAAAGTCACTACAATTCTGGCCACGATGAGAGCTGCACCTATGCTATTTCTCAGTACACCCCAGTAATAGGGCTGTCGCACTTCAGAAATTTTCCCTGCAGTGATTAATCCTGGCTAAACAATGCAATGTGTGGTATTACTGCCATTTTTTATTGTTTTGCAAATTACAGTCTTTATTCTGATTACAGAGCTTTATAAATAAACTTTATTGAAAGTGTATTATTGGGTATATTGTTGCCTTTTAAAGGACAGTTGTGAAAGAACTGCTGAATGCAGAACACAGACAGGTCATGAGGTTCAATAAGGGAAGTAGCGTTTTTCAGTTGAAATGCTTTGGTTGTGTCTGATTACTATGATACAGATTATCCGCAGGAGTAAATTAGTCTGCACAAGGTACAGCACTTCCTTTGGCCCTCGCTCTGGATGAAGAGAAGGCTGAAGCATGTAGAGAGAGAAGACAGACCCGTCAAGTCTGTGAGCATTCAGTATAATATCTCCTCCACTGTTGTTTTTTAGCAATGTGACAGTTGGTCTTTGTGGTATTTATCCAGCTCCTCCTCAAATGTGACTGGACAGCTGGGTAAAAACTGACCGTTATGAGCAGCTGTGGCGTTTTACCCAAAGTTGAATATTCTTCAAGGCTGAATCCAAATGTCAATCTAGACTTGCAGACTGAGCCCTTGTGGACTTCAGTTGTATGTACTGTCACATATTCACTATCATTTGGTAAAGTGTGCGAGCGCAGAGACCGCAAGTGGACTGTTTTACTTCATTTCTGTATCATGTGTTGGTTGAATATTATTTCTTGCCCACATGATTCAAGTAACATTTTAATAGGCCTTACTATCAGTAACTATTTTACACATTCATAAGTTTTTTTTTTTGGCAATTGGAAAAAAAACCCCACAGTGTCACGTCTGTATTGCAATATATTGTAATATCTATGGGTGAAGTCTAAACCCCAAGCTCTCTGGAATTTGAAAGTCAGAAGCCAGTCTGTAATCAGAAAGTCCACTTGAGGCCCCTTATGGACTGGGTGAGTAGTGGAGCTAGACAGCACTCAGCACTCCCAGACTTCCTGGAAACACAGGCACAAAGTCTGGGAGTCTGCAAGTATGGTGAAGTCCAGACATTTGGATTCAGCCCAGCTCTCTGCAAAGATGCAGCACTCAGCACAGAACAGACACTTAGCGGCTCGTCACACTGTTGGCCTTCATATCAGAGTGTAAATCCCATGAAAAAAAAGAAAAAGCATAAACTTAGCGGTTGTGGCGGTTGCTTGCCATCCCCTGCAGATGGCTTGTCAGTGGTATTGCAATACTGTAGTTATCGCGACACCCTTACTCAGGCTATTACAGCTTCAGCAAATGAGAACTATATGACATCATTTTCTAATTACACATGTTCACGTGTTATACTTCAACAGTTTTAAAACAAACTTCAACTTTCTTGACACGCAAAATTATCTTTTCAATTTACAAACATCATATGTGTAATTCATGGCACAATTCAAACGGGAACAAAAAATCATTTGTACTTCATCGTTAACTACCATAAAAATGGAGGACCCATGGCGGTCCACCAGAAGGGGAGGGACTTCGCCTCTGTTTTGTGGTTATGTCATTAGTTACAAAAAAGGATACTGGTGACATAGTTGAAGAAATTCTCATACTGGAAACTGCCTTGCTGACAGATCTTATCCACTGCTTTTAAAAACAGCATCTCGCCCTGCGGCCAGTCATGCTGCAGGAGCACCACCACATGACCGAGTGACAGGTCGTCGCGACTGTCTGTGAAGGCACGGAGCTGATGCACACAATGAGAAAAAGTGGAAGTCAGAATCAGAAGTAAATGTGAAGAAAGGTGGGCTACATGCAGCACCACAAATAGTGCTTGTCTTATCACAGTTCAACTATAAAAATAAGAAACTTTAACCCTTAAATTTCATGCATTTAAACAAACTCAAACAGTTAACGTACCTTAAAGCAGGACAACATCAGCTGGAGACAGAAAGGTAACACAGCTTTGCTGGTGCAGGGAAGCAACCTCAGGTCATTACCTGGATATGAATGAACAAAATTAGTCACAGCATAAAGTTCAGATGTACATAAGCAGTCATATATTTCACTATCACATAAAAACAGTCATATGCTATGCTATGCTATATCATTTATATGCTTTCAGTATCGAGGGACAGCAGCAGTTTCAGCAGTGTCAGTTATTTCTCATTTACATGGAAAGTGCAGTGAAGGGAACTTGTGGTTTACTTGTAGTATTGATACCGTGTTAATGGTCACGACAGTCTGCCAACACACAGACACACATGATGCCACCCTTTAAAGGATGTGAAACCATTTTGCGCTCAATTTACAAGGTATATTAGATATCAATTTCAAATAAGGTAACAGCTGTTTACGGGTCAGAATCAAGAAGCAGGAAGTGTTTACCTTTCCTCGCTTTGGTCTTGACTCTACCCTGATCCTCTGGGGTCCTTGTTAGTTCTTGGGTCGGGGGCACCAGCCCACCGACGACATCAAGCAGCTTCTCACAGGCCATCTGATTGACACAAACAGGACAAAACATGCATCACATGTCTAAGTAGGGCAGGGCTATAACACAAAGTTTTGTAAAAAAAAAAAAAAAAAAAAAAAAAGATTTAAATTAACTGATTGCATTAATTGTGTAATTTGTACTCCAAAACACCACAGTAAGCGTATGTTGT